GATAACAATCATCATGGAAATTATTTGGCCTAAAATACTAGCTAAAAATCTAGCACTGAATAGCAATCTACCGTTTGTAATTTCTTTGCATAATTTGCGAATACTATTTTCGGCTTTCTCAATTCTCTCCTCCTTGATAAAAACTCTACCTTTTCTAGTATCCCATGTGTAACCCAACCAATCCATACTCTGACTTGGTAACCAATGACATTTCTCATGGGCTATTAAAAATCCCAATCTTTCGAGTGTATTTTTAACTTCAAGACTACTATTCATACTATTTTTTAAATCATTGTCTCCTCCGAGACCGTCATCTAAAAACATGATGACACGTTTACCTTCTGTTCTCATGTGTTTGACAACTTCTCTTAGCACTTTGGTAAATATATACCCAGCTGTTGCGATGCCAAATGGCAACACATTAAAAACAAAATATCGCATAACACCGTCAAAATTAAATGCAAAACCAAGAAAAGATCTGTGTATTTCTGTGATCTCAATATGATGATATGCGGATTTCAAATCGTAGCTAAATAGAAAATCACCCTTTTTAAAAAGGTCTCGTGCGTTTTCTGTATCTTCGTACTTAAATCTAAATTTAAAGAGATGTGAATTCAAATGTCGACAATCTAAAACCAGTCTCGGTTTGTTCTTATTGTAAGCAACTGTAAGAGGGTTTACAACAAAAGGCCTTTCTTTTACTTCTGAAATGCATCTCTTCTCTATTAATTTTCTTATCTCCTCTTTTACAAATTTTGGATTATCAAGTGAAGATCTGTTATTCTTCAACAGTTCTGATCTTGGTTCTGTCTTAAAAGGTATCTTATATCCGTTTTCAATAACATCTAAAATATGTGTATTGCTTGTAATTGATCTCCATTCAGGTAACTTAGATTTTAACTGACCTACAGGTGAGAGAATACCTGTAGGCTGGTCAACCGTAACATTTAACGGCGATTTAAAACTGACCTTATTATTAACCTCGTCTTTGCAATAAAATGTCATGTGACCATCAGTTTCTATTGAACTCTGTTCAGTATCATTTAAATTTGAACATATACTATTAGTCAAGATTGGCAAATTATATAAAGTTTTAAAAGTACTTATCTTCTTCTTATCCGGACAATCGTCGGTCCAGTGGCCTCTTCTTCCACAATTGAAGCACCTGCCAGGTTTCCAAGAAGAATTGGTAGTCTCTGCCTTTTCTCTCGTGTATGGTGTTTTTCTTGTAATTTGTTTCTTGGATTTCTCTGCTTTCTGTTTTCTTTCTGCTCTGTTTTGTGCCCTGATTATTTTCCTCTCATCTTCCGAATCGTCGGCGATAGGATTTGTCACGTATTCGCCTACAACCTTCCACCCGAGGTCCGAGGAATCTGCCATTTTAATTAGTTTCTGTCTTTCTTTTACTAATTCCATACCTTCTACTATCTTGGCTTTGGCTGCTTGTACGGAATCAACACTCAATTCTGGTCCTTCTAAATTAACGTCTGCTTCTTTCAGCTTAGATAGTACCTTAGACTCGTGTTTAAACTGGTTCTCGTTGCCTTTTCTCTTGAATGAGTAATTATCAGTAAAGGTCTGCTCGATTTTGTACATCTGAGACTGTGAAATGTCCTGTTGAGATTGTCTGATGTTAGATTGGAAAGACGATAACCTTGAATCCATTATAGAGGAAATGCTATTCAATATATCTTGTTGAATGTTCGAAACTGCATTTTTAACTTCCGAAGATATGGCGTCTTTAAGTGAACTAGATATCCCGGTGTCCATTTTCAATGTTGCCCTGTCTGCGGCGGGCTAGAAAGTAAAAGTCTCAGGGAAAAAATTTCCCGCTATAAAATTAGTCACGTGTCTTATACCTAGTGACGTAAACTTATAAAACTATACGCTAGTACCGTACATACAATAATTTCTCCCTATACTAGCGAAACGTGAGAAATTATACTTATGATTAAGTAAGATTACGTAATTCATATTATATCTTTTCTATGCGAATGGGCAGTTGGATACCAGCGGTCAAGCTGTACGGACGCCGTACATTTACAGTGACATTCATTGATGTTTAGTATAGAACATTTATTGGAATAACCATTTGTTTTATCTTTTCGGAATATTACCGTTGAACTTTTATTGTAATTAATGTATTGCACTATTGAAGAAGTTATATATAAACCATCGTAAAGCTTAACTTAGTTTTGTTGACTTTAGACAGTGACTTTCCCCCAGAATTCTAAATATAACAGGAACGACGAAAACCCCTGTTATAAAAGCATCGATGAGCCTTAATGCAAATTAATAATTTTGGCAATGATATAGTGCTTCTATGTGCATTATCTGTATGTTATCTTGATGAAAATTGAAATTTACAATATCTATATGTCATATATAGATAATACCGTTGAAAAGTGCAAGTGGCAATGCCTAAACCGGCTCTTGTACAAATTCCTTACGAATTACTTGTTCATTTTGCTATCTATGTTCATGATTCTGTACACACAAATTATTTGGACACACAATCAGCGGTTATTCATGAATGATTAGATAAAACCTGAAAAAAGCTGAAAAAAATTGGAGAACAAGAATAAGCTTTAATGCAAACCGAACACTTTGATTCAACAGTAGAAGCCACTCAACTGATACGGCGTACTACATTTCAGATTTTTAGTCAACATTGATCAGTACAATTTTGAAAGAAAAAAAACTGTCTGGCTTAAATTCTAAAAATACACCTAACAAAAACCAAACACAAAAAAAACTATAAAAAAACAGAAACAATAAATAAATGAATAACATAGCGTAGCATTTATTTTTTATAAAAAATCTGATTTGGCGGAATCAATTAAACCAATCGAAATGTTGATCTCAGAGAATAAGGTTTTCGGAAAGGAATGATAGACACCGCTGTTTATAAAATTATATGTTTTCGTTACATTCAAGGTTCGCATACTAATCATAACGTGTTGTCCTGACCCCCCCCCCCCCCCCCTCCCCCCTAAAAAAGAAAAAAAAATGATAAAAAATATTTTTTTTAAATCATATATCAACAAATATGACTGTGTATTATGTGTTATCCATGTTTTATTGTTATTTGACATTTGCCTAACATTCCCAATTATTCATTTCTATATAATGATTCAAAAAAGGAAAAAAAAAAACATTCTTGGTTTTCTTTTTCAGATTTTATGCTTCAGAAGATAAAAGAAACTATGACACACAGTTTGATGCATTTGCCGATTATAAAATTGATTTCTTAATTAACTTAACTTAATGAATGTTTGTTGCGTACAATGTATACTTTGTTTCGTGCGTGTATAATTTAAATACAAACAAATATCTGCAAATGGTATCTTTCAAGATTAGTCTTAAAGGAGTATGCCCTCAAAAAGCACACACATAGGACTTAAAATATGTATATAAAAAAAGAGTTCTTCAAAATAGTATCATTCTTTTCTGAAAGCAGATATATTCAATTAAGTGTATTAGTATCACTGAAAATAATTATAGATAGGGTGTTTAAAAGTGTTACTAGAAGTACTTCACTTTCATATCCAGTTTTATAAAAGACACTATATATATTTCTTTCAAAATATACTCTTTTGGATACAAAAAATAAAACTTATATAAATACATATTTCGTAAATAAACACTGTTTACAACTATTAGGTCAAATTTTTTGTTGCACAGTCTATTTATAAAGCTGTTAGCAGAATGGAAATATATGACATTCTACATTGTTTACATGTCTGTGTACGAGTATTGAGAATCACATTGTTGTGGTAGATACAGTGGACTAACAGCACAATTTAAAAAAAAACATGAGGGATTTTACTGTTTTGTTATTACGGTATCATTATAATGACCCTTACTGAACATTCCTATTATAAAGTCATTTTCGAAGTCTATCCGAAAATCATTTGTTGGTGTTCAGATAAATAAGCTAGAGTTATTTCTCTTCAAACAAATAGCTTTCTTTTCTCTCCTATTGAATGTATTTTTCGTGTTATGATATTTTAAGTAAGTTTAAATCAAATCTTATCAATATGTATATGGTTAAGGCTTGCATTGTGTAGTTTGTATTTCATTTTCATTATTATCATTGTCTTAATTATTTGTGATTCATATTTATTAAAATGTCCTCGAAGGGTGCTATAGTTTGGATTGAGAGATATTTGAACACTAAACAATGGTTTTGGTTAATAAAAAGTATTGGTCTTCAGCGTTTACCGCCATATGACATATTTTGAGATGCTTCTACATAAATTATAGCCGGCGCGGTAATTTTTAGATTGATATTAGAGCAAAAAGATATACTGTAGCACACAACTATAGATTAAAGCTTACATAGATACACAAATTAATGACATAGTTACATGTATTTACATGTATCATATATACATTTTTGAAAATATTAGGTAATTACTTTTTACAAAAAATTAAGACGAAAATGGCTTTTATATAGAAATATTGACTGCTTGATTGGAGATATGTACAGCAGCTTATTTGATAGAGTTGAGGTGAATTCCTTAATGAATTAATGCTAGTTATAATCTATCCTATTAATACAATTCCTTTTTTAGAGTGAATAAATGAGTACATATCTCGTTTTGTTTAAAGTTTTTATAATTCTAAAATCTTTAGATCATTTTGAAAGATCTCATTTTCTTTTCTTTTTTCTTAAAGTTTAAAATTTTATCTTGGGGTGTCTTGTAGATACAGGTATACGAGACGAAATTTCAAAGCAAATATGTAACTATAATGTATATATACTCATACTGGACATATCTAAAACGGTTTGATTATTGTATTCAGTATATAATATACACATTTGAAGAAAAAAAACAGAAATTACAAAAAAAATTAAGTAAATTTATATTTCACAATTTGTTTTTGCGTATCATCTGCTTTTAATTTAAAATTTAATACTTGCTTTTGTACACCTTTTCGCGGGAAGTATTTAGTTGATGATTAAATCCCCTTGTTCATGGTTGTGTGACTTGTTATCTATTTTTAGCATTTACATACTTTACATGTAATATTATGCAGTCAACAGGATATATTCTGTTGGATATTTATACTTTTTGTGAAGAATTCTGAAGAACCAATGGGTTGACAATAAGACAAGTATGTAAGTACAATTTGAAAATTGTAATTTTGGGGGAAATATAGTAATATAATCACGCCCTCCAAACAAAACAAATTATTCTATATACGGAAGGACGTTAGGGTAAACACTTCATTCATATTATGATATGGTTTAGTGAATGGAAGGTTACATTTACCATGTTTACTCCATATAAACTTGTAAACAATTCACTGAATCAAAGAGAAAATGAAAACATATAAATATGTTTTTATAAGTAATCAACAAAGCAAATAATTTATAAAACTTAAATTATTGAACAAATACTTAAGAAGCAGATCTAGACATAAATTAATAAATCCTATCAGAATAAGTTCACTTTTGGAATGAGGAAATGAAAACGTGTCTCGTTACTCCCCAGTTTTTAAATTTATAAAATCCTAAGACCATTTTGAAATATTCCATGTTTTATTATATAAGATTTATTAAATTCAATATTTTATTGGAAAGAGCACAATTGAGGCGTGATCCCGATACAGACAATAATATATTCAACAACAACATCTACTATAAATGAAATTATAATACGATCAATGTAAGAACAAGTCATAAGTCATTTATAAATATATGGTCAAGATAATATCACAACTACTGGGTGGACCCCACTGCTGGAAGACGTTTCGTCCCTGAGTGTATCACCAGCCCAGTACTTTTGTGCTGCCATGAAATTTCATTGATAATGTTCATTTTTCTGGGGAGGGGGGTAATTTAATGTTGATAAAAATGTTCAACTTTTCAATTTGATTTGTTTTCCAACTCTTTCGATTCGAGCGCCACTGATGAGTGTCTGGCGTACCATATTATAAGCCTGGTATCGTTGATGCTTTTGATTTGTTTATGTACGCATGGCTAAACAGTAACACACGTAGAGGTTATCAATGGTCACATCTGAACGTGTTTTTGCTGTTTTTAAAAAGCTGGTATTAAATGCAGAATTGATACTTATTATTAGTTCACTTCTTTTTTTAGAAACTGCATTATATATATGTCAAATTCATGTTTACAGATTTCACTCAAATTCTCATATTTGACTTATAACAAACTAAAACGTTTATCTAAATTCTTAAAGTCTAAAATAAACAATTTACAATGCACGGTGGTTGATAATATGTAACAACATTTTGTGTGTATTTTAGTCTTGAAGCCATTTGATAAACCATCGAGGTGACCTCCAAAGAGTTCCGACGGTCATATAATTCGATATAAACATAAATATATATATAAATTGAAAGCGAACTCGTGCAACTGGATTAGTTTAGGTCTGTTTGATTTCATACTATATGTTTAAATTAAGGCAATATTAGTACTATACCGCTGTTCAAAAATATATGTTAATTATCGTTTTACCTGTATAAGAATGGGTTTTTCTGGATTGAATCAGTCAATCAGATGGGTTTCCCTTGTGTCACTTTCAATGTTGAAATTCTTTTCCCTTTATTAACTGACTACGCCTAAATCATGCGTAGCCCATCTCTAGTTATGGTGTTACATTGAAGTTCACATGCATACGGATTCAATGAGGTCGAACAATTCACTTGCAAGTGAATAATTCATCAGCGATGTTTCTTAGCTTATTTTGATAAAATTGAAACCAAACTGGCTTCTAAAAGCGAATTATCATTTCACTATTTCACTTTCATTAATGATTGAACGAAACAAATCATATCTTAGTTATTGGTTTTCCTATCTCGTAGAACTATTCAGTGTAACGTGCATTACCCAATAATGAAACCGAGTATGAATTAGGGCCTGTATGCATAAAACCACTTGATTTAAAATTTGTTCCGAAGTGACGGATTTTTCTACATGTCCAACGATAAATTAGTTCTTCGATTGGATTTCTCAATTTCAGTTGTGTTATGCATACGGGCCCTGAACATTAATTGCAACTTTGTCATATGCTCACATAGCCAAAGATTGCTTGTTAAAGGGAAATCCAACTAAACGAGCATTGTTTGTTAACTGAAGACAGAGTGCATGATATTCCAGTCAGATACGGTCAATTTCATTGTGTTACCTTGAGTTACTAAATGGACGATTATTGTAATTCCGATAAGGGGAGATATGCTTTACAAGAGGATTAACATGGTGTCCTTGTAAAAACTGATAATTAAAAATCTTGCCAAAGACAAGATGAACTTTGATATTCTGGGGCACAAAAAGCAGTAAATAGTTTTGAAAAATAAAGCAAAAAAATAATTTTGGCGTTTATGTGGCGCGAAATGAATAAATCTGACTAGGCTTTCAGGTGAAAATGATTATTCCATCATAAAAAATTTCCTACCTCTTAATAAAAAAAAACACAAATTGAAGGCCGTACGGTTGTTATTTTCAGCCTTGTCTTTTAGTCTTCGATCGATAGTGGTCTCATCTCCACACTTTGTATTTGTAAACAGAGACTCGTTTGTTTATATTGTTGGAATTCTGCCTGCAAGACAGACGATTGACTCTAAATTGGACATTTATTTCGCTCTATCATTTTGTCTGTTGTTATTGTTTACTCTACATGTTCCTTGTTATTGGTCTTTTAGTTTAAATTAATAGAAATGATAACTTGTGGAATAAAACCCTACATATAAGTTAAAATATGTTTTCAGAATGTCTGTATACGACGATATGCAAGCCGTTGTCATTGACAACGGTTCGGGTGTGACCAAGGGCGGTTTTGCTGGTGATGATGCCCCAAGATGTGTGTACAGCACGGTAGTGGGCAGATCAAGGTCATATACAAAATGTGAAGTAAGAATAATGTTTCTTATGAAACGTAAATGCAATTAAAACAAATCAGACAAATTCGGTCTCTTCTTCTGCCACAACTTAAAGGTGTTTTTTGTTGTTGTAAAAGTTGACCAGCTTGAGTAGGAGTTCACTATGAATACAACAGGATACATATATAACATCAATTTTGATGCACACAAAAATCGTAATAGGTTAAAAAACAATTTTTCAATTTGAATAAATAAGTGGACAGGTTTTCTGCCTTCCTTCTTTCAGTGCATTTATTAATGTTTTACGATTAAAATTCTGGATCCGCCTCTGCACATGTTACCATTAGCTGTCAAATCCTAATTTGTCGATTTGAATCAATTTCTCACATTTGATTAAAGAATATTAAAACATATATCCAAATATGTAAACAATTTACAATGCATGGACTCGATAATGTGAATCAGCATTTCGTGATTATTTGAATCTATACGGCATCTAATGAACCATCGAGATTTTCCCGAAGACTGCCGACGGTCATATAAACCGATATAAGTATAACCTATAAAAAGAAGTTAATAGCGAACGCGTGCAGTTGGATTTATCTAGGTCTTTTTGACTTCTTGTTATATTTATATGAAAATCATCGTTTCATCTGTATAAGTAAGGCCTAGTACCTGCGTAACTTATCTTCTGCTTAGGGTTAAACATGAGGTCATATGAACACAGATTGAATGAGATTAAATTATTGACTTACAAGTCAATAATACATCAGCAATGTTTTTGAGATTATTTGACAAATTTGAGCCAAAATGATTGCTTATAACGAAATGACATTGCAAAATTCCTTTTAAGTAAATACTTGAAACAAAAGAAATCGTAATTTATTTGTTGGTCAAATCGTGGCTAATAGCACTTTAATATATAAGGATCAGGTTTGATCCCAATACATTTTTTAACGATTTTTTTATCTCCAGAGTATGGTATTCAGGGATAACTATGTTGGAGATGTGGCACAGAACAGACGCGGTGTGCTCTCATTGGATTATCCAATAGAACATGGAATTGTAACAAATTGGGACGACATGGAACTAATATGGCATGATATTTTTTATACTTATCTTCGGACAGCACCAGAGGAGCACCCATTTCTCCTAACAGAACCTCCACTTAATCCAAAATATAATAGGGAGAAAACGGCACAGGTATGTGGATTAAATATTCAGGGAGCATACAGACTGTTAGTCTCCAAATTTTTATGAGCCTCGCCCGTAGTCAGTGCTTCGCCACTGATATGACGTATGGGATACATTTCTATTGAGAAATTTTGAAGAAACAAAGGTTCAACTTCCTCAGTCAACGATATTTCTTTAAGGGTTCAGTATTCAGTGCTTAGCCCCTAACATGATTTAAAACAAACAATAATTAACTTTTACGTTGATGAATTGGGAAATATTAAGACAAATAGATGCCAACCCATTCGGGAAATTACCTCAAGATGGTTTGGCTATTTTTTTAGGTTTCGTGTGATCATTCATCTCATAAAGTAATAATAACATTTAATTATAATACGTTATTATGATTGGATAACCGGAATCTCGCGTAATTCTAAAATCGACATTCATTTCAAAATGAATTGTAACGTTCATGCTGACACGAGCTTCCGCAATAAAGTGCACAGATAAATAAAAGAAAAACGTGATAAAAATCGTGTTTTCAATGTAATTATAAGTATTGAATGCTTTTGTTAGTAATTTTCAAGTGTTGTAAAAGCGTTGACCGTGCGTTCATTTTTAGGATGAGGCGCGTCTACGCTTCATACAAAATGAACTTCGGTCAACGCTTTTACGCCTCAATAAATTTACAAAAAGAAGCATTAAATTCTTAATTAATACAAGATTCTTGGGGTTGTAAAAGGGAGTAATTGCCCCTAATTTGCAATCTTTACAATTTGCTTTGCATTGTTGTATCATATGATAGTATTTAAAGAAAAACTGTCAACTAGAAAAAATATCAACAGGAACGTTTTTTTTTTAATTGTTTGTTTTGTTTCTTTTTAAACTTGAAATACATTTAAGGTATACTTCGTTTTTCGGTTAACTTCTTGTTTAAACATACGAAAACGAAATGGAAAAATGTTTTTTGCATTGATTTGAAATCGATTATACACGCCCAAATACTTCCGATGATCGAAAACATTATCCAGGTTGAATATATATCAATATATTTTGCGCATTTCATGTTATTGCAAAATTAATCGTTTTAAACCTGTGACAGTTGCAAAATTTCACATATAACAATAAAGTTACAATTGTCGTTTTTGTCTAATTTCACATTACTCTTCAATGTGGAAGTTGTATTTATATATTTTCATATAAAAATAGTTGTAAGAAAACTTGTTATTATTTGTATGCAGATATTTTTCGAAAAGTATAAAGTACCTGCATTTTACGTGAGTATGCAAGGTCTTTTGTCATGTTATGCATCGGGGAGAGGCTCTGCAATCATGCTAGAAATAGGAGATGGTGTGACACATATAGTTCCTGTATGTGAAGGTAAGTTGACAAATAAGGGCAACAGTAGTACACCGTTGTTCAAAAGTCATAAATCGATTGAAAGAAAACAAATTCAGGTTACAAACTTAAACCGAGGAAAACACACCATCTATAAGAGGAAAACAACGAAACAACAGAAACACTGAAGTGCAACAACAACAAAAAAAACGACAATGCAACATACATAGAAACGAAGTATTCGATAGCAACTCCCATATTCCTGACGAGGTACATGACTTTTTAAGAACGAATGGTAGGTTGAACCTGGTTTTGTGGCTAGCCAAACCTCGCGCTTTATGGCAATGTTGAAATATGATAAAATATGCTACATAACACTGTTGGCCATTTTGATTAATCAAATTCCATCCACAGAAATGACTATTTACGATGAAAAAACCCGGACCTTCAACATAATGTGGGAAAAAAGGAAACATTTTTTTATTTACTAGTACTTCGTTGGCAATTAATTGTATTGCCGACAACATAGGGCATTACATGTACATGTTATGCTAAACATTCAGGTAGTTGCTGAAACACAAGGCCACGGCATTTCGACATTTATTTATATCTAAGATGTTCAATTGGTTTCTAAACCACTTAGCCAATGCATTTCGACATTTGTATATATATCCTTACTGAAACACAAGGCAAGGGCATCTCAACATTTGTTCGTATATACGATAGTCAATTTGTTACTGAAACACCAAGCAAGGGCATCTTGACATTGTGCATATCTTAAATATTCAACTCGTTGCCGAAACACAAGGTCAGGGCATTTTTTACATTGTACATGTATATCTAAAATATTCAAATCGTTGCTGAAACACAAGGTCAGGGCATCTTGACGTTGTTGACGTTGTACATATTTAGAATACTCAATTCGTTCACAGGATTTGCATACAACCTGCCATAAAGAGACTCGATATAGGAGGCAGAGACCTTACATCTTATTTACAGACTCTGTTGCATGAAAAGGGACAAGATTTCGTAACCACTGGTAATATATCAGCAGAACTCACTTATTTTGGAGAATTTATAATTTTTCAATTATGAATTTTCAAAATAATTCATATCGACATACATTTAATATTAATAATGAGGGTCCGTTGTGAACTTACTTTACGACAAAAGAGATGATTTTCATTCCATTATGAACTCTCAGTTTCATCATTTGAATATGCAGTGTATTTCTCCCCCCTCCTCCCCCCCCCCCCCCCAAAAAAAGGTTATCAGTCAAAAAAAGTTAAATAACACCGAACAAGAAAGCTATTGAACCATATGGTAAAGTAATCCCTTTAAATATATACGGAAGTCATCATGATTTCGTTGACAGCTATGAAATATTCGTCAATAAGTGACCACGAATATGTTCCAATTATTGTTGCAACAACGAACAATCCCTACCTCTTTTCCAAGAATTTGATAACAATGAAATCGACCTGGCACGAAATATACACGTGCAATGATTTACATGACAGGAGTCATTAGTGGAGCAGGAACTACATGCCCTTTCGGAGGTTGTCCTTGGTTTTTGGTGGAGTCTGTTTTGCTTAATTTTGCTTTTCATAGCGTCCTCTTGGTATATTCGTCGTCTTTTTAAAAAAAAATTTTCATTATCAACTCTTCGTATTTACACATTGTTGCTACATTTTTTCTTTCAACTAAAAGAATCAAAAGAACTGTTAAAACACTTGCAATCTAAGTCACGTCTCCTTGTGCAACAGTAGAAAAAGCCTTGACTTTCCTCTCACTTCAATCTTGTTTTGGGATATTCATGCTTTTGAAAAAAGAAAATTTGATTTTGTTACGTTTTTGGACAAGTTTCTCAACAGAGAATTACAATGCCTATTGGAAGCAACTATGCTTTTCTGCTTACTGGCTTATTCCTTTGTTCTTATGAGACTGAGTACATATGGGAACGTTTCATTAAAACTTAAAGAAACCTGATCTTATGGTGTTCTTTCACTGAATAGAACATCTTTTCCTTCATATAGCCAATCACGAAGATTTTTCGAATTGCATTACGTTATACATTTAGCTCCCCAAGTATTCAATTATTTATATTTCATTTGTTTTAAGTATGTTGGCTTGAATCGTTGCTAATGAAGACCAAGCAAGAAAAGAGCTTTGAACGCACCAGATTAATAACATGTTATTTTTAGTTCCCATCACATATGGTACCATTCATTTCTGAATAATTAACAACGGTTCGATTGCGTTGCGTTTTAATATGTCACAAAATTATTCATTGCAGGTGATTTTGAAATTGTAAGAGATATGAAAGAAAAGTTGTGTTATGTTGCCGAAGATTACTCTAAAGAAATTACTTTGTCTGAATGTTTTCCTGATGTTGATAAATCGTATGAACTTCCAGATGGAAATTGTATTACCATTGGCAAGGAGAGATTCCAGTGTCCAGAGCTTTTGTTTCGACCTACGAAAGGTAACGGTAAATTTATGATTTCTTTTTCAACAGTTAATGAACCTTACACTTGTATATGCTGGAGTTATCCTTCTTGTCCTGAAAAGGCAAACCTCCAATATAAATTTATACTAATATTAACAAGTAATGCACAGAAAAATCTGGAATAACACAAACCCCATCACTTTTCCAGACTCTCATGAAAAATGTTTTGAACGCAACAAATTAACAAAGTCTTGATTTCATGAATATATTGCCACACATGAAATGTACATGAAACATTGCCATATAAGTGGGAGATTTGGCTAGCCTAAAACCAGGTTCAACCCACCATTTGTTCTTAAAATGTCCGGTACCAAGTCATGAATATGGCAGTTATTATCAAAAAGTCAGTTTATATGTACATGTATGTTGGCGTTTGTTTTTGTTGCAGTTCAGTGTTTCTGTTGTTCCGTTGTTTTCCTCTTAGAGTTGATGTGTTTCCCTCGGTTTTAGATTGTCACCCAGATTTGTTTTCGTTTAATCGATTTATGGCTATTAAACAGCGTATACTACTGTTGCCTTTATTTATGTCAAAAGCGGTAACCTAACTTATTTGATAAACGAAACTGAAGTGCGTTAAAAGCCGGAAAAACACATTTGTGTAACATCATCACTGCAAATGCACCACATCTTAACAAATTAAAAAAAACATTTAAGATATGACACATGCACTAGAATGAATTATTCAGTAAAGCTAATTCAAGTATACCCTATAAAGTTGATATCAATTACGAAGACAATTAAGGGGCAGAATATGTAATGTTTACAATAAATTCATTGGATTTTTTTAAGGAAATGGCAAATCTAAATCAAACGGAAAAAACACTTATCAATTCCATACAGCTATTGACTTTAATTTCTGGACCTACTTTCATCAGGAATGTTTAAATGTTTTTAAAGCAAGGAAACATATGAGAAGCTAGTCAATAAGCTTCAAATTATCAATTATGTTTTTTTTCGATATTTATATGTATTCTAAATGTATATATCTGCAGAATTTTTACTTCGCTTTATCTGGGAAAGTATTAAACGGGCATATAACAATTCTAATAATCTTAAGCAGTCCTGTATGTTCTATAGTACATTAGCTTGGAAATTTTCAACCCCATTGCCTCCTCGATTTACTTCTTAGTGAGTCTACGATTTTGATAAAAAAAAAATAAAAGTATGATATTTTTGTTTTAAACATAAATTAAAGCTGAATATTGAAATTTTTAATTCGGTAGTAGCATCTTATTTGGTAATGTGATCTAAAAAATAAGGGCATCAAAAGCATTGCTGACATACTAAGACGACGATTAAAACTTAGTGTGTTCCGCATGTTTGCATCCTTTGGTTGTAGATGGGTTCCGAATGTGCCCAGCAAGTTCAGTAAAATAAAATGAGAAAAGAATCAATAAATTCACGAGGAAGAACCATTTCGTTGACGGATTCGGCCTACAACAAATCATATGTCTGATAAAGTAAATGGATAATTTACTCTTTTGGTATTTAAGCCATGAAATAATGCATATAGTCTTGTATGTTTTTTAATTTAAGTTCATGTATTTGTTTTGGAGTTTAGTATGACGTCCATTTTCACTGAACTGCTACACATTTGTATTATGGGCCAGCTGAGTCCCTGGGGCCATGCCCGTTTGCGGGATTTTCTCGCTGCGTTGAAGATCCATTGGTGGCCTTCGGCTGTTATCTGCTCTTTGGTCGAGTTGTTATCTCTTTGACATATTCCCCATTTTCATTCTCAATCTTATAAAATAAATCACCATAATACTATTGTACATGTTGGTCTGTCTATTTATGTTATATTTATATCGGGTCACCAAACCATCGATAGTCAATTTAACGAGTTTTCTTCACCTCGACAATAAGAGTACGTTAAGTCCTAACATGCGCACAAACTGCTCAAACTTATTTCATGCATTGATTATGGTTTTCCTATGAAACTTTTAAAATTCTGGTTTATAAATTTGTATGCTTGAAATAAAACTTGAGAGTTTGAGTTTATTCGGTGGTTATGAAATGTGCAGCTTATTCTCCATTTGAATATCAATGGCAATAGTAATATGTTTCTCAATCCTTTAAAATAATTTTCCATGAACAGTATTTGGGCTATTTAAGTAAAAAACAAATATGATAAAATTGCAATTTATTTTGAATACAATTTACCGTGATATTAAAACAAACAGAAAAATACTCCGATTTTAGGTGCTCCGAAAGAGTAGGCAGATCCTGCTCCTAATGTAGCACCCGTCGTGTTGCACATGTAAGTACATACTCGGTAATGAGTATATTTCGGTAGTATGTGACGTTTATTGCCAGTTAAAATTTGTGTTCTTTTTTAGATATAGGTTCTGATGGTATACACAAGTTATTGTACGACTCAATAATGGCAATTGACATGGACTGGAGAAAACATTATTATACAAACATACTTATATCTGGAGGTTGTACAATGTTCTCAGGTAATCAAATATGGGGTCAAATTTACGGGCGGATTGCATTTGCGCCAATTTTCACAAAATCCAATCTTTCATTTGCGCCACAAGATTATATTTCATTTACGCAAAAAAAATAATGAACAGATGCGCCATGAGCGCATGATACACCCGTCGTGTTTTCAAAGAATAAAGTGCAATAGCTTCCCAAAGTTATATCAGAAATTTATAAAAAAAAATAATGGGAGGTTATCTTAATAGATATAAATCAGTCACCAAAGTTTAATGAAAACTGCTCAAAGCACTTTAAGGATATCGTCCGAAAACTTGAAAATCACCCCTTTTTTATGAAAAAAAAACGTAAAAATCTAAAATTTATAAAAATCAAATGGGAGCTTACAACAATAGATATAAACAATTTACCAAAGTTTCAAGAAAACTGCTGAAAGTATTTCTGAGTAATTGTCGGAAAACTGAAAAATCCTCCTTTTTTTAATGAATAAAACCCGATAATAAGTAAAAGGTAAAATCTGAAATTTATAAAAATTGAAAGGGAGCTTACGTCAATAGATATAAACAATTCACCAAAGTTTCGGGAAAACTGATCAAAGCATTTTTGAGTTATTGTCCGAAAACTGGAAAATCCCCCTTTTTGTAATGAATAAAAACCCACAACTCGAAAACGTAAAATCTTAGATTAATAAAAATCGAAAGAGAGCTCATGTCAATATGTATAAACAATTTACCAAAGTTTGATGCAAATTTGTGAAAGTGTTTTTGAGTTATTGTCCGAAAACTGGAAAAAAAAAAATTTTTGTAATGAAAAAAACCCCAAAACTAGGAAAAGTAAAATATAAAATTTATAAAAAAAAACGAAAGGGTGCTCACGTCAATAGATATAAACAATTCACCAAAGTTTAATTCAATTTGGTTAAAGATTGATTTTTTGATTTTTGGTGTTTTAACGACACTTTTAAGCACCGCCTTTGGGCTATTTCGTGGCGGCCAGTTTTTATTGGGCTATTTCGTGGCGGCCAGTTTTTATTGGGCTATTTCGTGGCGGCCAGTTTTTATTGATGGAGGAAGCCGGAGTGCCCGGAGAAAACCACCGACCTTCGATAGGAAAACTGACAATCCTAGTCAATTAAGATTGGAGTCGAGTGCACCCGCACGAGCTGGGTTCGAACTCACAACCTCAGTGTCGACTGGCTAGTGATTACAGTAGTAACTACTTAGACCACTCGGCCACCGAGGCCCCTCAATTTGGTTAAAGCGTTTTTGTGTTAATGTCCGACATGTTGGCGACGGACGGACAACGGTATACCATAATACGTCCCGTAAACGTGTGTATAAAAACAGTTACTACATTTACGCAATTAACAGGTAACATATAACGGAGTTCATACTCATTTCAAGATAGAATACTGAGAGTCACGTAGGTTTCAAATTATATAGTGTTCACATGTTTGAGGTGTCAAAATGGACATAGTCAATTCTGAGACAAACAGGCCGTTAGCTTTTCTCAGAATTAGATTGTTTCATATTTTTCGTGTTAAAGCTGTTTAAAGCCGACTATAAGAAATGGGTTTTTGAAGGCCTGACGGTTACCTATTATGGCTTTCATTCACTTCATTTGAACCTTGGTGGATAGTTGTCTCATCGGCAATCATACCACATCTCCTTATTTGTATATAGAGGAAATTATGTTTGTAAGTGTTTTGACCACTCGTTTAATACAGTGTACAGTGCTTTCTTTTATGTTTTATCTCGTTGATTTATAACAGAACTGTTATTACTGTAGATTCATTATTATTCGTTGGATACCAATTTTCGTGAATTTCGTTGGTACAGGTAAACCACGAATTTAAATGTTCAACGAATAACAAATTTTCCATTGGCTTGTATGCTGACTTCGACATGTTTGTCTAAACCACAAAACGTAATATCCACGAAAGTGCGAGCTTTCCTGAATCCTCGAAAATTGGTACCCGCAAAAATAAATGAATCTATAATATTAAGAGTGTATCCCTTATGGGAACGATGACTGATTTCGGAGTCACATATTTTCTTACGCAATCAAAACATTTCTGTGTTTTAAAGTTATTATTCAAAGTCTCTCTGAATTGAACTATTTTTATACTATTAACCTGTATTATTGGTGCAAATGCAATGTTTTATTTTGGCGCAAATGAAATATGGTTTTCGGCGTAAATGAAAGCAAATTTCTGCGCAAATGAAATGCCAATTGGCGCAAAAGCAAAGCACCGCATATTTACATTATAACCAGTCTGAACTCAAATGGGTTAGAAATTGACATATCGTTAGACTTTTGTCCTCAATTAAAGAACGTTTATATTAACCATTTCAATGTTTGCTCGTTTTCTTTGATTGCAATCTCATTTACATTTAACATGCATCTCTATTTTTCAAATAAATTTACGTTTGATTAAAAAGATAAATCAGGAAATATTAACCAGAGTTCATGCCACAGATGTATCAATATACATTGCATAGTAACCTACAAAACTCACACAAAAGTATGCTACAAATCAAATAGGTCTTCAGATGTAATGATCGTCAGTTACACAAGGTCGATTTCTATACGATACAGCTCATATTTGACTCTCAATATTGACTACTGTAGATTTGAATAAATACCGGTTCTGTTCATTATTTTCAGTTAATGGTTTCGCTCGCATCGTCTGTTTTGATACCTGCGTTTGATGTTTTTTTTTTCTATAAGACGTCTCCACTTTTCATACATTGTGCATTTTATTTGTAGAGTCCAAAATAATACGCCTTTATTTCCTGTTTGTCTCAGAATAAATGTTTCATCCAAAATGTGAACACTTTATTTTATATACAAGTCACTTCAATTGTGATTGGATATGAGTATGAATTCACTTAAATATCGGACTTTGGTTCGCTACAAATTTATTTTATTTGTGGAGTCCAAAATAATACGCCTTTTTAGAATATAGCAAAGTGCTCTCGACCAATGAAATTGTAGAATTTGATGTCTCTTAATTGTGAAGAATGAATGTAAATCATGTTCTTAGCATGGGATTATCCTATTATTTGGGTGTTCAAAGTTCAAAACAAAGAGTTTCTATAAATGAGTTACAACTGCCCCGAAGCACATTATTAGATTGAAAAGATTTATCACACAGTGATTGAAACTGACTAAAAGTTGAATTGTGAAACAAAAAAAAATCAAAATAAGTTGGAGTCTACTGGTGCAGTAAAACTGGTACCTTTAATGTTATTATGAAAATATTAATAACTTCAAATTACTAAAAAATTAAACAATATCAAAGCAATGCAATAAAAGAAAAAAAAGTTTTAAATAAAAAACAACCCAAATCTTTAGCTTTCCAAAACTCTGATAACTGGACTAGCGGTTGGGAAGAATAGTTATTTCCAATATTACGTTAAAATAAAAAAATAAAAATAGGAATTTAATTTAATTTTGAATATATTTAAAACTTTTAAAGGCATTTTATTTGATCATTCCTCTGACATAATGCAATAGTATTTGATTTCAAAAGCTGGACCAAAATATTGGCTTTGAAATAAAATTAGTTGTAACTCAAATATAGTTATTTATTTAAACTGTATATAAAAAAAGGATAATTCCTCACTAAAATATTACATGATATACATTCATACTCACAATCAGGAAACATATACAATTCCTACATTTTCTTTGTACTGTTGTGTCACCTAATGTCTATAACGCATTTTTTTTTAATATTTCCCAAATTATAAGAATGTCCTTACATCACTAAAACTAACCCATAAATGAAATGCCGAAAAAGGAAGTCATGCATCAATTATAAACATTGCACTGACAATGACACTAATTCTTGAATACAACCAATCAAGAGATTATTTGAGCCTTGAGCACTTTACAATATTCTAAGTTTGTAAGAGAATGATAATCCCTTTCTTCATGATAAGTACTCGCTAACGCTCGTACTTAATCATGAAGAAAGGGATTATCATTCTCTTACATATACATGTCCTCTGTTTGTCTCAGAATAAATGTGTCATCCAAAATGTGAACACTGCATTTTATATACAAGTCACTTTCAATTGTGATTGGATATGAGTATGAATTCACTTAAATATCGGACTTTGGTTCGCTACAAATTTATTTTATTTGTGGAGTCAAAAATAATACGCCTTTATGTCCTCTTTTTGTCTCAGAATAAATGTTTCATCCAAAATGTGAACACTGCATTTTATATACAAGTCACTTTCAATTGTGATTGAGATTTGAGTATGAACTCACTTAAATATCGGACTTGGATTCGCTACAAATTTATTTTATTTGTGGAGTCCAAAAAAAAAACGCCTTTATGTCATCTGTTTGTCTCATAATAAATATGTTTCATCTAAAATGTGAACACTGCATTTTATATATAAGTCACTTTTAGTTGTGATTGAGATCTGAGTATGAACTCACTTAAATATCGGACTTGGGTTCGAAAAAATTTGTAATATGAGTCTAATATTTATTTTGCAGTATACATTGTGAATTTAATCTTAATTAATAATACCCGAAAAATGGCGCCAAAAATTGGTATATATTCCAAAGCCAATTCCTACTTAGACATATGTTACATAGATGTTAAAAAAAAAATCATAGAAATGAAATTGTTTGCTTTTTGGTCATCACCAATATGTAGAATTCAAATGTATTGTAGGATTTGCAAAGCGTTTGCAGACCGAATTTGCCACTTTGATTCCAGAACGCATGCTAACAAAAGTAGTTGCCCCTCCAGAAAGAAAGTATTCAGTGTGGATTGGTGGATCCATTCTTGCTTCATTATCCACATTTCAATCCTGGTGGATCACAGATGCGGAGTACCAGGAATATGGACCCGATATTGTCAATAGAAAATGTTATTAAATCATCATAATATAATATACGATTTTATTTTGGGCCCTAGTTCTGTTTTTATACGTTTTTGGGCAATAGCTTAGAAGGGCAGTTTTAAATCAAACTGGTCAACTTTGAAAAAAACAAGCCTGACAGAATCAATGGATCGAAAGATACCGCCAATGTTGGCAATAATTTTCCAGAATTGCTTTAGACTCCCACACATTACTAGTTTTAAGAAAGAACACTTTCTCCTTGTTAAACCTAAAACAGGTCATTTTGCTGATGCGTTAATGACCAATGGTTTGTTTTTTTCCAATCTTGGTACATGTATTTCAACGTAATATATGTAGCATTGTTTAATGCAGAGTCGATATTTCAACATTGAAACAATCAGACAACGCTTCTGCATTCTATATAGACTATTAGTAATTAGCATTGGATTTTTAAATATTTTTGCCTCAAGCATCACTGAAAGGACATTTATTGGCGACATGCGCATCTAGTACAGAAAAATTGGTACCGTCAATGTTACTTCTACCACTGTGTCGATGCCTCTGTTGGTGGACTGTTAGTCCTCCCAGGATATCACCAGACCAGCAGCCAGTATTCCGGTACTGCATGGTATGAAAATACGGACTTTTTGTTATAAAAATTTGCTGTTACAAAAGTTACAGAAATTATCTCACATTAAGGTAATATTTCTCCCGCATGCAAAGCTCTGATTCCTTACCAGGCTTTGGCTATCCTTTTTTATCCTTTTTGGATTATAGCTCCATCTTTTAAATAAGCTTTGGATTTTCAAAATATTTTGGTGCAGAAAAATTGGTATCGTTTATGTTGTTCTAAAAGTTAATGTTTAAGGTTGCGTTTCGTTTCCAGTTGAAATATTTTTTGTGCAAGTTCTGTTTCCATGGACATATAAATATATACTATTCGTCCAGCATTTTGTTCTTTAATACTCGAATCAGTTGGTATACATTCAAATCACATTAGATAACACATGTGTGTTAAAAGTTTATTTGATATTTAGGGAGTTGGGGTCTTAGAAACGGAAAATTAACTCAACTTATAAAAAATGAAAATATCACTTCATAAATTTAATGGATTTACCTTTTATATCGGGAAGCCGAAGACCACAAATGTAAATTAAAAAAATGTAGCTTTCTACACTTGTTTTTGTTATCAATATGTGTGAATCAATCATTAAAGTAGTCGAAGTAAACTCCACAACTATTTATGAGATTCTTTCAATTTAAGACATTTTTCGACTGTTTAGACTTTCAAAACTCACAAGTCGAATAGAAAATGACAAAATCCCCAGTGAATTAAAAAGGAAAAACAACGAAAAAACAAACCAGTAAAAGTTATAGTGTCGAATATAGAAAACTAGAACATGAGCAACAGCAAGCCGACCAAAAAATGGTGCTCCGGAAGGGTAAGCAGATCCTGATTCTAAAGTTGCAGTAGTAAATCTAAGATGAAGACTATATCTGTTTTCAGACTAGCCAGTTATTTCTTGAACACCTGAATCAATTGATTTGATATTAGATATAATGGAGTGTCATTAGAAGAGAGGCGAAGGATAACAAAGGGACATTCAAACTCACAAGTCGCAAAATAAAATGACAACGTCATGGCTTAAAAGGTGGAGACAGACACAAATAACAGTACACAAAACACCACATAGTCGGTGCAGATTTTTTTGTTTTATATTTTGCTGTTTTTGAAGTTTGCGGCCTTTTGACAGAATAAAATATTGCTTGAAAATCAGTTTCTGAAAGAACTAATAAATAAAATTATCATAAATGTGTCATATGTAAATCTCTAATTTCTTGCCCGGTCTTGGCAGTTCTTTTTGTCCTACTTTGGTTTATAAGCTTTTCTTTTTTAAATTAAAAATTGGATATTCAAAATTTTGGCCTCGAGGATACCTGAAGAGACGTTTTGTGCAGAAAAATGGGTACCATTAATGTTGTTACTAACACTGCATTGATACCGCTCTTGTTTACTGTTAGTCCCTGGATGGTATCACCGGCCCAGTAGCTAGTACTTCAGTAATGGCATGAAAATACGGATTTTGTGTTATTAAAATTTTCCGTTACAAAATTTAGGAAATTTTTATTTTAGTAATATATCTCCCTCAGGCGAAGCTCTGATTCCTTCCCAGACTTTAAAGAGATATTTAGTGTTGAAATGCGAATCTAGATCAGGTCGCTTAAAAATATCATTTTTTTGGTAAAATCATAGTGAAAGGGCAATAACTCTCTAAAAAGTTAACTGACAATTTCAGTCATGTTGACATATTTGTAGATCTAGTTCTGTTGATCATTTTTGCTTTCAAAAGTTTTATCCACATTTGTATCTTTTTCAAGGTAATAAGCAAAAACTTCAATAATGAGTCGACTAAAGATTTCAGCCATGATGGCTTATCTGTAGATCTAGTCTTGCTGATCATTAATGCTATATTAAATTTCCATCTTCGAAAGAATAGGCAAATATTAAAACAAGAGTGCACAAGCCCAAATGTATCCGAGATATGGACGACCACGAAAACTTAACCTTGTTCACCGATCCATGAACTGAGGTCGAGGTCAAGTGAAAACTGTCAGATAGGCATAGGGACCTTGCAAAGTACGTACATACCAAATAAAGGTACTAGTATCCTATTACTCATAATAAGAGAGATATTAAGAATTCTAAAAATCTTTTTTCAAGCAGTCCCTGAACCACGAAAAATGAGGTCAAGGACAATGGACATATGACAGACGGAATCTTCAGAACATAATGCATTTATATACAAAGTATGAAGGATCCAGGTTTTCTACCTTCTGAATATAAGCTTTCAAGAAGTTTGTTAACACCGACATGGCAGACGAATCACTATCCCTGTCTCGCTTTATACTGCGACAGAAGTCACAGGCTCGACAAAAAATTGGGAAAAATCGTCAAAGGCCTGGGGCAATTACTTCAATAAGGAGTCAACTGACGATTTCAGTTATGTTGACTCACTTGTACATCTCGACTTGTTGAATATTTTGGCTAGGTTTATTGCTAGAATTTACTTTACATGCACTTACGAGAGCAATACATAATTTAGAGGAATAATATTCACCAATATTTATGCAATAAACAGGCTTAACAAACTGTTAAAATGTAATTGGAAAAGAGATCAAGTCGATAATTTGAAGCTATATTTGGACTAGTGCAATATTACAGAATACTGAATGCTAATTTTTCGTTACGTTCTACCGGAAGTAGAACATTGCTATATAATAATAATATTTACCATATTATATGAAAAGTCAACATGACAACCATTTAAATCATTAAAAAAATTGTTGCTGCCAAAGGAAAAAATGATGAGGGAGGGAAGAGAGAAAAAGAAAAAAGAAATTACTCTGGATTGATAATTTCTGTTTGATTCCATAAAATCTGAAGATATTTTGGAAAATCTGTTGTTTCATTAGACATTTATGACTCAAACTTTTTATTTCTTGCATATTTTTTTGTACTGGTATTTTATATGTTATGAATATAAATAACAACAACTCTTGTATATATAAATAACGTTATTAATGTTTACAAGGCGGGGATAAGGTATTCGATGTTTTAAACTGACAAATGTACATATTTCAATAAAATATGAAAAACTCTGCAAAACATTTATAGTCAATAGACCATGACCAAGAGCAGGGTTATAAAATCTCCATGGAACTGCACATATTTCATCTATTAAAGTGAAATAAATAAAGGCCTGTCAGAAACCAAATGCAATGCTAGTTCCCATATAATTAATATTTCCAAAAATACTTTATCCGAACTGATTTCAAACTATCAAGAACTGACAGATGCCCAGTATTTCTATGTCCCTGGCACCGTGCCGAATGAGGAACAAAATATATTCTAAAGTGGCACATATAAATACTAAATAATAACTGTGGTTTGAGATGATTTAATAAATAGCTATAAATATTACTATAATTAAAGGACATGTATATGGCAACTGGATATTAACACAACATATTACTTCAGTAATTCCCAAGAAACTCCATAATTATACGAAACATAACAATATACATTACATCCACTTTTTTTTTATTTAAAAATATTTAATATCAAATTTATTTCATTTAATGAATAATTACTTGAAAACACCATACATGATTTAAAGAGAGACCCCTTCATAAAAATCAGAAGTAAATATTTTGTATTTAAATTTTCATTAGGTTAGGCCAGCTCCTAAAATAAAATAAGTTTCCCCCCCCCCCCCTCCCTGTAGTGTTATGTACCACCTTGACACATTCCTGACATTGTAAGGATTCTTCTAATCAAGATGTACCTGCGCAGTGAACATTCAAGAAAAAGAAATGTAAAATATGAATTTCTTCCTCAATTTGTCAAGAAAATTATTTGTGTAGTAATGATCTTGTTACGTAAAAAAGTAAATATTTTGTCAAAATTCTATGAAAATTAAACGAGCCAAATAAATTTTAGTCGAGGTGTTTTGTACCACCTTAATTGACCTCTGATCACTCATCAGAAGAATGGAACAGTCATGGAAGAAAACATGAGTTCCCTATTTTGGCATGTAAGGAAAGCCAAATATCGGAAATAACAATATTTCATTTTTGACCCTTTAATTTTCAAATACAACCTTTAGTCAAATTAGATTAAAATCAAGCACTAATATAGTGAGAATAGTATGGCATTACATGATCTTCAACTACAATGTAGATTGGAAACAATATCTACGAGATTCAATATAATTTTAACATTGCAGGTCACCTAAACTATTCTCTGCACTAATGAGTTAACGAACACAATGACAACAATATGAGCACGAGAGACAGACAGACAAAAGTTGACACGAATAACACTATGATCCACACATAAGACAGTCATCTTTGTTCTTCAGTGAGCAAGCCATAGCTGCCATGTTGTTGTCTTGTGTTTCTCCATCGGTCTTCGACTCTGAATTGTCGGCAGATTTAGTTGTGGAAGACTGCTGCAGCTTTTTCTTATCTACTGTGAATTGAATTGCTTGGGCTGCTGCCTTGGTTCTTAGATAATACATTCCTGTTTTACAACCCTGTAAAATAAAAATATTTATGCATCATATAACACCATGCTCTACTCCATGTTCAGTGAATCATGAAATCTGAGTCAAAACATAATTTGGTACATATTTCCAAACCAAAAATAAACATTGTTTGACATTTGTAATTTTTGCCTTTTTTAGCTTGCTATGCATGAGTTTTGCTCATTGTTGGAAGCTGTCAGCAAACTATAGTTGCTAACTTCAACATCATTTTGTTTCATTGGCAATTATCAAATCTCATTTCTATATGTGTTTTAAGTATCAAGTTGATGTGACAAACAATACAACACATTTTATACCTAATATGAAAAGATGAAAAGAAAAAGATTTTTCTGTTATATGGAAAATTTTTATGCAGTAAAATAATCTTTTTATGCATTCATCAGTTTTTTTTGTGGTTTTTTTTCTCTCTCAAAAATTAAATAATTGCATTCCAACATTTTTTTATTTAGATTTTTTTTTAAACATCACAGATGACAGGAGACTTATTCAAAAAGTTTCATGGTTTTTTTTTAAGTGCCAGTCTTTGTAAGAATCAGGCAATTTTGAAAAAAATCAAAACATGGCCGAAAAAACCCACCGACCTAACCATCCTATTTTGAAGTTACCCTCATCCCAAGTTAGAATTGGTAGGTCTTTCTTTTCTGCGTGTCTGGTAATTCGAGAAATCTCTAGATAAATTTTGGTTAGAATGATAGCAAATTACGGAGTTAGCTCCCCTTAATTTTCAATTTCTAGTGCATTTCAACCAAATTATATCATGAATTACCAGAACAGGACAAGGAAACAAATGTTTTATTCATGTACCATTATACGTTTTGAACAAAAATTAATGTCAACTTGAGTGGGTTTTTGTTTGTCATGTTTTCACCACTGCCTGATTCTTAGGCAGATTGGCACTTAAGTGATTCGCAAAATATCCTTACCAATTTCCATGCATAGAAGTGCATGCTGGTCAACTTTCCATAGTTAGGTTCAGCTATATGGATGTTGAGAGATTGGCTCTGGTCAATAAAAGCACCTCTGTCGGCAGACATTTTGATGACCGTCTTCTGTGATATTTCCCATACAGTTTTGTACAGCTTCTTCAATTTTTCTGGGATTTCATCAACATTCTATAATTTCAATATTTTAAATTAGAGAATGAAATTTATAATATGAACAGAAATGACTTAATTAAAGCAATTAATACACCAAGAAGTTACTATGCTCTTGAAAAAACAAAAAATAGCTTTTATTTGGTGCAAAAATGTGTTTTACCCTCCCGTTTTTATTCGATTGGCAAGCTCTGAAAAAGCCTTCTCCAGTTCAGGAATGGAGACCCATATTACATGAACTTAAATTTCTGATCATTAGTTATTTTTGTTTCAGTTGGATATGTTTTACTTGTTGAACACAATACTCAAAAGTATCCAAGTAAAAATTTATAAAAGTAAACCATTATAGGCCACAGTACGGTCTTCAACACTGAGCCTTGGCTCAGGCTGTTGAAAATGTAATTTGACCTTTTATCACTGAAAAAAATTTAGATTTGTAAGAGACAGTTAAAACACACATTTTGGGGGCATATAAACATTACTTATGTCCCTTGGACATTATTTCTGGTAACAGTTCTTTGATGGCATTTTTAAAATTTATTTACATCTTTTCTCAAGTTTGGGTCATTTTATAGCTAGAAATATTGTGTATAAATAACTTCTCAACTGTTCATTCTAGTATGTCAAACAATGATGGTGTGATTATTAATTCACTATACATCTATCAACAGATATGAAACCCGTTCTATGAACAATGACATGCTTTATCATGAGAATATGTCCTGTTTTGTACTTAATCAATACCGTAGAAAGGCTTGTATAGTCCGCGGTTTTATTCTCCAAAATTGGACCTTCCAGACAGGGTGCGGACTATAGAGTACAATAAGCAAGAAATAAGAGAAAAATTTCAATTTCGCGGGCGAGGTGGTTTGTTTACATTCCGCCATCTTTGTTATTTATGTTGTAGAGGGCGCTCTTATCATTTTTCAAACTAATAATTTTAACTCATCCATATTAATAAGTTATTTCTATTCAATATCAAATTAATACTGATAAATATAACAAGAGTGCACACGCTGAAATGTCTCGCCTTCTTTACTAATCATTGATATTATGTTGATAGTCCTAAATATAAAGCTTTATTACAACTGTCACATAAACTTAACATTAACCAAGTAAACTAAACATTGACCAATGAACCATGAAAATGAGGTCAAGGTCAGATGAACCATGCTAGGCAGGCATGTACAGCTAACAATTCTTCCATACAACAAATATAGTTGACCTATTGCTTATAGTTTAAGAAAAACAGACGAAAACACAAAAACTTAACACTGAGCAATGAACCTTGAAAATGAGGTCAAGGTCAAATAAAACCTGCGTGACTGACATATAGATCATAAAATATTTCCATACACCAAATATAGTTGAACTATTGCATATAGTATTAGAAAAAAAGACCAAAACTCAAAAACTTAACTTTGACCACTGAACCATGAAAATGAGGTCAAGGTAAGATGACACCTGCCAGCTAGACATGTACACCTTACAATCATTCCATACACCAAATATAGCTGACCTATTGCATGCAGTATTAGAAAAAAAGACCAAAACTCAAAAACTTAACTTTGACCACTGAACCATGAAAATGAGGTCAAGGTCAGATGACACCTGCCAGCTAGACATGTACACCTTACAATCATTCCATACACCAAATATAGTAGACCTATTGCATACAGTATAAGAAAAACAGACCAAAACACAAAAACTTAACTATAACCACTGAACCATGAAAATGAGGTCAAGGTCAGATGACACCTGCCAGTTGGACATGTACACCTTACAGTCCTTCCATACACCGAATATACTAGACCTATTGCTTATAGTATCTGAGATATGGACTTGACCACGAAAACTTAACCTTGTTCACTGATCCATGAAATGAGGTCGAGGTCAAGTGAAAACTGTCTGACGGGCATGAGGACCTTGCAAGGTACGCACATACCAAATATAGTTATCCTATTACTTATAATAAGAGAGAATTTAACATTACAAAAAATCTGAACTTTTTTTTCAAGTAGTCACTGAACCATGAAAATGAGGTCAAGGACATTGGACATGTGACTGACGGAAACTTCGTAACATGAGGCATCCATATACAAAGTATGAAGCATCCAGGTCTTCCATCCTCTAAAATATAAAGCTTTTAAGAAGTTAGCTAACGCCGCCGCCGCCGTAGCCGCTGCCGCCGCCGGATCGCTATCCCTATGTCGAGCTTTCTGCGACAAAAGTCGCAGGCTCGACAAAAACTAAACCTTTCATTACAAATTTCTCGTTTCTTTTCAATGCATTGGTTGAAATAAACTGGTATCTGCTTGATTGAAACGATACAAACATAGTGAAAAAGACAACCGTAAACCAGCTTAGAATTTGTAAACTACAAAATGTAATCGGTTATTGTTCCTTCCGTTTTGGTGTTTCATACTGACTAATATGGTTTGTATTAACTTAAGACCCTTCAAACATTAATGTGATTGATATATTAAAGACTGTTTTACAAAAGGATGGAACTGTTTTACTTTCAAAGTCGTATTATAGTGATATCTGTTATGTACGGATTTCGACTCTCACCGGTTAATTTCTTCTTTTACACGTGCTTTTTAAACTTCCTGTTTAAACATACACAAGTTTCTAAATTGTCATTTAAGTGAATTAAACTTATTTTAACAATCATGAAGCGTTCTAGAATCATTTACAAGCAGTTTCAGCTTCTGTTTGATGATGGAAAACAGGTTTTTCCAAGAAAATACCGCAAACGACCGCACACGATTTGAAATTACCGGAGTTTCATTAGACCTTTTCTAACAGTTACAAAAAGTTTTTTTACCTAAAATTTCGTAGGGAGAAGGGGGTGCGGACTATGTACCAGTGCGAACTATACAAGCCTTTCTACGGTATGCCAAGTCATATTTTAAAGGTGCTAGCTTACAATCAAATATTAGACTCGGACAAATACTAAATACTATATGCACGAGGACTGGCAAAAAAATAACAATCAATGGTTGGCCGCTTTGCATATTCAAAATGTATGTGGGAGGGTAGGAAGGGGAGTTTAATTATTGAATGTGGGTCATGGATCTTTTTTCAGTATGCGTCATGCGTCTATTACCATTATGAAAAATTATCTAAAAAAAAAGTTCTTGTTTGTGGGGATATTTTGAATGTCCCTTCCTACCCTCCCATAAACATTTTGATGGAATAGCTCTAAGGAATCAGTATTTTTTTTATTTTTGTTTCGACTATAAGTCACTTACTTGAATTGATCCACCATGAGCAATAATCTTGTTCTTCATATCTTCATTCCACAATCCCAATTCTGTCAGATCTTTCAACAAATGGTGATTCACAATCTAAAAATTAAAACCTTTCTATAAAATCAACAATTATGGATATACCCTTAATTTTCCTGATTCACCATGTACCTCATTTAAAAAATGTAAAATTTAAGATGGAAAGGAATGAGTCAATGTGATTTTTAACAGGAACAAAGTTTTCTACTTTAAAGTTACAAGCTGAAGAAATAATTCTTTTACAGAAAGCTTGATTTATTTTTTTATTTTTTTCAAATAGGTTAAAAAGTAAAATAACAAAAAATGCCGAACTCCAAGATACATTATTTGCTAAATTTTATATCTGTACAAGAGCTTTTCTAAAAGCAATAAAAGCACAATAGACTACACGAAATTCGTCGGACCGTCTGACAAATCTGGTGAATAATGGATCGGTCTGGTAAAATTTTGTTGAATTCCGGTCCGAACGTCCGGTGTTGTTTTTTTTTCATGGATTTTTCTAGCATTATTCCCAATGACAAAAAACCTACATTTTTCCCAGCAAAATTCCCAAACCATCTCAAAATTCATTTTCATCTTTATTATTCATGACAGCGGTGTTTATTTTGTTCAACCACTAGCTTTATGCCGAAAATTGCCAACAAGTAATGTGTAAATCAAAGTAAAAACATATCTGACTGACATAAACAACAATGGCTGCCATCAACCGGAAATGTAGACAATACTTGGATCAGATTCCTGGAATGGATAAGACTAATTCCCTTTGCCGATCAAATACAATAAATAAATAAATAAAAATCCAAGCAGGTCACAAAATACAGCTATGAAATATAAACACTAGAATTGAAAACCAAAAGATATATGAAAAAGAAACAGGAAATATTTTATACAGAAACTCTAAATTATTTTTAGTTCACAAATAATTTTCATGTCAAAATCCAATAAAATGTGACATTACTTTTCTTTAACACTGAAATGCATTCAAGCAATTGTGCACAACTGTCATCAAGATATACACTCTTGTCGCATGATTTTGTTTTTGTGCATTTTGGAGAGGAGTATGGCACAACAAGTCACAAGTTTGTTGTATTTTGTTGGATAATATACAATTAGATTGTAAAAAAAATTGGTCTGGTAAAATTTCATTCGGTCTGGTAAAGATAGATTGTTTACCAAACCGAATGTCCTGTAAAAATAAAATTCATTCGTCCTGTAAAAATAAAATTCATTCGTGTAGTCTGGCACAACCTAAAACACATCTAATGACATAAGGCCAGTTGGAAAATACTGTATACCAAAGTTGCAATATTTCTATTTTATTAATATGCAAATTGCAATGGAAAAAGTTTTGCAAAAAATCCTTGCATTTCAAATTTTTACCATTATTTGTATGCACCATTTGCTGAAATCGCAATTATCAATCTTGCATTTTTGTTCATTTTTCAAAAACCTGAATAATGAATGTACACAAATATCACTCAATGTTTACACTACCGCTGTTCACCTCCTTGAAATATTGTGGATTCATTTTTATATTTCTGGGATACCAATTTTTATGGTTTTTGTGGATAACATGGAACCACATGTTTTATAGTTCAACAAATTTTCCATAGGATTGTATGCAGACTTTGGCAAAACCACAAAAATACAATCATTCCCCAATCCGTGATAATAGGAACCCACGAAAGTAGATGAAATCACAGTAGTTAGTTGACGTTTAATTCTATAAGGACTGAATCATATACTTTTTACAACGTACCTGGAATTCTCCTGACAATACCCTTCTGCTGTAGATGTTACTGGTGTAAGCTTCTATAGACTCATTGTTACCCAGGATTTGTGCTGTAGAAGCTGTAGGCATTGGAGCTAACAATAAACTGTTCCTTATTCCATGTCTAGGAAAAGAAAATCAAATAGTATTGGACTAATATTCAAACTGATCTGAAAATAAATCAAACAAGTGCACATTGTCTGAAGTATTTAATGTCATCGATCCAAAAATATCTGTGCTTTATGGGTCATTTTGGGCCCTTTATAGCTTGCTGTTTGGTGTGAGCCAAGGCTCCATGTTGAAGGCCATACTTTGACCTATAATTGTTTACTTTTTACGCACTGTGACTTGGATTGAGAGTTGTCTCATTGGCACATATACTACATCTTCTTGTTTCTATTTACCTATTATAGTTCTAATATTATACATATTGTTTTACTGGTAGTTTGCAATTTGTAGTCTGTTAATGAATAAAATAATTTTTAACCAGTCCTGTTGTGTATTTTGATATGTAGGAAGAACTGATATGCTGTCAGAAGGAAAATTGTGAAAAATTTTGATAGAGCTAAAATTTTGGTTTGGTCAGAAACCCTCAAAGCACAATCTCCCCCCTCTTAATATAGCTTAAATAGAAACAAATTTACTTTGCTATCTTCTTTCTTAATGCATCCCAGTCATTTATTCCAGTGTCTTTAACATTCCACATATCATGTTGCATAATCTAAAATAAAAAAAGGGGGAAATACTACACAAGTTTCACTGTAATACACAATACTCCAAATCACATTTTATCTTTTAAGTTACATGCATCTAAAATGTCATAAAATTTTAAAAAGGTCTTGACAAGATTTGAAGTTGTTGGACAGATAATTTCCTTGCAGTAAATTCAGGAGTGTTAAGAAATTTCACTTGCAGACGACAATCAAGAAATGCTGTTCAGATATTTTAATTGCAGTCAATCAAAAACTGTTCAGTCTACTTGCAAACAGTTCAATATTCTTTAAATAATTTCATATCAGGTTGAACAGAATTAAATTGCTCAGAGGCAAAGCAAAGTGAACACTTCTAAACTAATAGGAGCGGAAGGTATCTGATTATCATCTTAAACAATGAATTTTAATTATTGGCTTTTTGTTCACTTTTCAGTTGATGCTGAGTATGCAGAGGTCAAGATTGACAATAATAAATGCACACATGATCAATTTCTAAATTTACAGTATTTTCTATATATACATGAACAAGTAAGCCATATTCTCATCAAATTGGGAATTAATTTGCTGTTGGTAAAACCAGATAACACTACTCCATTGTACATACCCCTTTGCTGACAGGTGAGCCTTTATATGTTTCATATGTGCCTAACTTCTTAGCTAAATCACAACTGGCGTCCAAAGCTGCATAGTAGATTGTGTCGAAGATTTCCCTGTTCAGTTTCTGGGCCTCTTCACTTTCAAACGGGAACCTCATCAAGATGAAAGCATCTGCTAGTCCCTGGACTCCAATACCAATAGGTCTGTGTCTGAAGTTGGACCTTTTGGCCTAAAATTTATAAATACGATACATACTACTGAGAAAATTACAACTAGGAAATTGCGAACAAAGTTGTAAACTGAAGAAAGTAATGTGCTGTTTGTGCATTTTTTTTTTTAAGAAAAAATCAAGTTGAAATCTTGCATCAGTTCTTTTCCAAAGCAAAACATTGAGTATATATGTTAAAGAAAAATTGTATACGTAGATTGGATTTATTTGGCAATTTGACCATCTTTATTTACCTTCAATCTATGGGGAGGCCTGCAATTTTTGACAATTCACTACCATAAATGTCATTAAAATTAGGTTCTCATTTTTACACATAAAAAGGTAGGGAAACACTTACAGCACATTGGCTTGAGTGTGTAGGTATGGGTAGTATCTTTGGTTAGCTTGCTTGCTAGCTCAACCATGAAATCATTATTAGCTAAGGTACAACCTTCTTTTGGTGAAGTCAATAGTTAAGCAGGGAACCAATCAAAAGTAGGAACAGTATACAAATATTGTGAAACCAGTTTTACAAGTTAGTTCAAAAGTATGTTTTCATGTTGTAGGTGTGTTTGATTTGTCAATTTCATTTCGATCAATTACCTGTTTATTTATATAACTAGATTGTTTACATGTGTAATTCTATAGAACATTATGATTTAATCAATTTGATAAAAAAACTTTTCATATCCTTTCAATATTTATATTCATGTATATTTATAATAAGAATAGCATAATCTTTGAATTTGATGTGTATTTTTTTAGGGGAGTGCTACAGAAGGTGTAAAAATAAATCTAGTCGGGTCAAATATTTGAGATGTTCCTCTCACTATGCTACTGTATTGTTTTGATCAAAATGAATTTGACAAATCAAACACACCTACGACATGCTTGTAGTTGACTATATTTTAAATGTAGATTGAAAAACATATTTCTGTACTGGTTTCACAATGTTTATGCAGTCCTTACTTTTGATTGGTTCTTTGCTTAACTATAATAATTGACTCCGCCCAAAGGAAGGTAGTACCTTAACTAATAATGATTTCATCGTTCAGCTAGCAAGCAAGCTTACCAAAGATGAACCTTTACCTACACACTCGTCACTGTGCTGTAACATTTTTATTTTGGTCAAAGTACTTAACTATCTATTGCTGTCTTACCTCAGGAACAGGGTAATAGTTGACTTCAATAATCTTATTTAGATTCCGTACTATGACTTTTGTCACCATCTTAAGTTTCTCAAAGTCAAAAGTTTTATCTGGTTTTACATACATATTCAATGCTATGGATGCTAAATTACACACTGCAACCTGAAAAAGGAAATGAATTCAAATTATAATCTAGTTTTGCTTTAATATTGAATATATGTTAAAGAGTTATTCTGATAGCTTTTATGAAAGCACTGATTGTTTGATTAAGTAGAAAACAACAAGCGAAACTGCAAGATACTGCTCACTGATGATACCCCCGCCCAAATACTTGACGGTAAACAGGAAGTTGTTGAGTGATGAATCTGAAAACGCATCACACAGTAAAGCTGACTTATATAAACCCTGAAACCAAATTTCAGAAATCCTTGTATTGTAGTTCCTGAGAAAAGTGTGACGAAAATTTTCAACTTGGATGTCATGTGTAAAATGATGCAAGTGTTCGGTAAACAGGAAGTTGTTGAGTGATGAATATGAAAATGCATCACATGTTAAAGCTGACTTATATAAACCCTGAAACAAAATTTCAGAAATCCTTGTAATGTAGTTCCCGAGAAAGATGCGACGAAAATATTCATGGGACGGACGGATGGATGGACAGACAGAAGTAAAACAGTATACCCCCATAATTTCCTGTCGATATGCACGTCTACATAGTATGTCCTTATTATCTACAAAGTTTCATGAAATTCTGTTGTGTAGTTTCAGATGAGTTGCAATGACAAGAACAGGACTGATGGACTGTAGCATATTGAGGCCATTAAGTTCAAAGGGGCATAACTCCTAGGAAAAAAAATTGAACCATCATTTCCTGTTGATATGAACGTCTACATAGCATGTCCTTATTATCTACAAAGTTTCATGAAATTCTGTGGTGTAGTTTCAGAGGAGTTGCGATGACCAACTGTTGCAGTAGTATATCGAGGCCAATAAGTGCAAAGGGGCGTAGCTCCTAGAAAAAAAATTTAAACATAATTTCCTGTCGATATGCACATCTACATAGTATGTCCTTATTATCAACAAAGTTTCATGAAATTCTGTTGTGTAGTTTCAGAGGAATTGCGATGACAAACACTTGCAGTAGCATATTGAGGCCAATAAGTGCAAAGGGGCACAACTCCTAGAAAAAAAATTAAATCATAATTTCCTGTCGTTATGCACATCTACATAGTATGTCCTTAATATCTATAAAGTTTCATGAAATTCTGTTGCGTGGTTTCAGAGGAGTTGCGATGACAAGAACAGGACTGACGGACGGACGGACTGACAAACGGGTCAAAAACATTATACCAGATGCAAAAATTCTTACTCGCATTTGGCGAGTTGGCGAGCGGAGATTTCACACTGTTAAAGTGTACTTTATCCCTGGAGCTACATCTAACATACCTCCCCTAATAACCCAACCACTCAAATTTCAGGTCAGAACAACTGGTAATTTCAAAAATTAAATAATAACCTCATCAGGACTGCTGTATTCCACAATTTCTGAATACAATTTACTACATTTAATGGTTCTTCCTCTCCCAGTCGTCCCCCCACAAGTTTCAAGTGCGAACAAACCACGAGGATTCCAAATATTTTTAAATATTAACCTCATCAGGACTGCTGTATTCCACAATTTCTGTACACAAGTTACTACATTTAATGGTTCCTAGATTTTGTTGATTTGACTTTCTATTACAGTGATCCTTGTATAACATGTATGGGGTACCAGTTTCTGTTTGAGATTCTATGATGGCATACCACAACTGTTGGGCTTTGATGGTTTTACGGCCACGTCCTTCCTTTTCATACCTGTAAAAAACATTAACATTGGATAAGATCATGTCCTTTTGATTATAAAAGTAGCAATGTCAACCCCAAAATAAATTGATGCAAGTATGGAAATTCTAAGCAAATTGTTTTTCAAAAGAACAAGAGAGCAAATGCTGAAATGACTCCCTTGCTTTTCTTATGATTGAACAGGTCACATCAACTGAAAATTATCAATGAAAATTGGTCAAGGTCAGATGATCCCTGCCAGACAGACATGTACACCTTCAAACAATTAAGTGGACCTATTGCTATTAGTAGCCACCAAAACTTGACATTGACAAATAAACCATGATCAGTCTGCATGCACACGGGTGTTTGTTAATATAATTTCTTAAAGTTAAAGAATAGAATACTTGAGAAATATTCATAATTTGGACCTACATTTAAATACACAAAGAGGCTGCAAAGAGGCTACTATGATAACACTTAATACTGATATACAAATTTGTGCTTGCCTGTAGCCAATGCTACTAATTTATGGGCTGGGCCTTCAAGTTTTAGCTGTAAATGTCCATAGTACTCATGTCAATCTTACATATTGTGGCAGGTTGGGTGCCTAGATGAAATATGTTTTCCCTGCCCTGTTTTGCATTTCTTCCCATTTTTTTTTCAACTCAATAGGCCTATTTACCCTTCATATAACTTTTCAAATTCTTCTCCCCAGCAGTCAGCCAATCCCCTACATTCATGAGGACACATCAGGGTCCAATCCCCATTGGATTCCACTCGCTTCATAAACAAATCTGGTATCCACATGGCATAAAACAAGTCTCTTGCCCTTTGCTCTTCCTTTCCCGTGTTCTTCTTACAGTCCAAGAAATCAAATATATCTGCATGCCATGGTTCAAGGTACATAGCAAAGGCACCTGGTCTCTGAATTAAGACAAAAAGTTCATACCAATCATATACTGTAAATTCAGAAATGTTTTAAGGATGTTCGCTCCTCTGTTTCAAAATAACAAGCTTTTTACAAGACTGTTATAAATTGATAGTACATATATATAAATAAACTAAAAAAGCAGAAAAAATTAAGGGTCCATGTGCTTGTTTTTGAGATATAAGACACTGAAAATTTGGCGGGAAATAATTCTCTCTAGATTTTTCATACCTTTAACATTGGCATCTTTTTTCTTTCAAAAACGATGAAAAATTAACAAGGATTTTATAAGATTTCTAAAGCTGACATTTTAAACTATATGTAATAAAATTATGGACAGAAAAGTAAGCGTTAGTGGGCAAAATTTTTTAATGGCACTACATGGATAAAACCAGAGAATTCCGAATATCTGGCATAATTTTAAAAACAAGAGGAGCGAACATCCTTAATGCATTATTTTATGTGATTGTTGGAACAATGTACAATAAAATGTTGATACAGAGATATGTCTCACCTGTATGTAATTTTGATTGACACAGAAGTTATTTTTTTTAAAAAAGGAAGGTTCTTAAATTTTCATTTTTGTTTTTTGCAAGGTCTTCTAGAGGTTGTTTGGTTTTTTTTTCTGTTGAGGTTAATATCTAATATAGCATAAACACCCACATCTATTCCATTTATTGTAAATTTGCTCTCATCCTTAATATGCATCAAATATTTGCCACTGAGGATAAGCAAACATAATCATAATCACACTTATATTTTCATTTCTTTTTTATTTTTGTCTTGTTTTTTTTATAAAACGTTTTCAACGTGAATGCTAGAGATCTTTTACATCTTTGGCACATCAAATCCAGACCCAATATTCTTCTATGAAGCTAGTTCTTTGCAAATATTTCCCAATAGGTAAATAAACATATACATGTATTACTAATCTGAAAGTTGTGAGAATAAGTAATTCGGTATGCTTTGCAAGTAATAATTAATATTGTGCAAGATAATACCAATCTTTCATTTTTAGGGCTATTCCATTAAAATGTATGTGGGAGGGTAGGAAGGTCATGGGTCTTTTTTCAGTATGTGTTTATTACCATTATGCAAAATTATCTAAAAAATGGCTCTTGGTTGTAGGGATATTTTGAAAGTCCCCACCCACCCTCCCACATACATTTTAATGGAATAGCCCTTGACAAGAATTCTTAAAACTATAGAAGAAAAGTGAGGCCACGGTATTTTACTACCTTATTGCCACCTTGGTCAACATATCTGGCTGTATTGTTGTAAACTCTCAACATCGGTAACAGTCCGTTTGAAATACCATTTGTCTATAATATAAAAGAAACAAAGTTATATTTACATATGAAATAACTTGATTCATATAGTTAAAAAAAATATCTTCAAATATGTGTACTCTGATCCCTTTTTTACATGTTAATTTTCATTTGGCAAGTTCTTATAGAACCTAAATCATTTCATTCCAGATAATTTTTTCTGTTGTTGATCTGAGAAATCCACAGCATATTTCGTATTTTAGTTGCCTCCAAATGCAGGGTGTTAAACGAAACTAACTTTTACTCAATAAAGAAGTAACAAGTGAATCTGTGAGCTACTGCTCACTAATGATACCCCAGCCCCGCTAAAAGTATAAGGTAAACAGGAAGTTGTTGAGTGATGAATCTGAAAACACATCACACGGTATAGCTGACTCATATAAACTTTGAAACCAAATTTCAGAAATCCTTGTATTGTAGTTCCTGAGAAAATGTGACAAAAATTTTCAACTTGGCTATCACGTGTAAAATGATACAAGTGTTCGGTAAACAGGAAGATGTTGAGTGATGAATCTGAAAACGCATCACAGGGTATAGCTGACTTATATCATGTATATAAACCCTGAAACTAAATTTCAGAAATCCTTGTAATGTAGTTCCTGAGAGAGATGCGACGAAAAATATTCATGGGACAGAAGGATGGACTGATGGATGGATGGAAGGACGGATGGACAGACAGAGGTAAAACAGTATACCCCCACTTTTTTAAAGTGGGGGTATAATAAATTTTAAACAACAGATTAAGGTGTACAATGTATTTTCTCACACTAGTAACTTAATACAAGGAAAAAATTAGTAACTGGGCAACTCTTGTTTGTATACACCACCACTCATAATTTTTATTTCCATATGTAACAATATTATTGCTTTCAACCACATTACCCACACAAATAAAAAAAGAATGTGTTTGAGGACACGAATGCCCCGGCTCAAGCTTTGCAATTATATAAAGTTAAAAAGGGGCACAACTCTAGAACGGTACTTGACTCACTGCCAAAATTTAAACTCTGCCTGCTAGTTTTGGTTCTTAGCATAGTGTATGAGTTTCATAAAACTTGGACGAGGAAAACTTAAGTTAGAGCGTGGAAACGATAATGGGATCGATGGACAGACAGTCAAGGATAACAATTAATGCCCCCATTGCCTACGACCAGGGCATAAAAATATCCTGTAGTGTCTAACCTTTCCATAAACTTTTTTCCTAAAAAAGCCCATACCTCAAATAAGCAATATACCATGACATCTTTTATTTCATATAGTTTATAAAAGAAACTGTTTTTCTGCACATGAAACATGGACTATTCCAAATATAACCTTACCCCAGCAATGTAGCTTCCTGTAGCTCGAATATTGTGTACATTCAAACCAATCCCACCAGCTGACTTTGATATTAGGGCACATTGTTTTAACGTGTCGTAGATGCCCTCGATACTGTCAGAATGCATGGTCAACAAGAAACAGCTGAAACACAACACAATACATTACAAGAATCCAGTTAATTTCAATCATTTAACATCTAATTTGAATTATGAGGTCATTTTAAAGTCAAAATGTTTGGTTTCAAATGAAATCAAGGATCTGTGTCTATAGGATTATTGCATAGATGGATTATAGTTATTTTGCATTCAATTTATATAATTGACACACAGACCAGAAACCTATCTCCCTACAATTATAGACGGAGCAAATATATACATTGACAAGTGGTCATCTAAAGTTTGTTACTGTGGATTCTTATTTCAATTGTGGAGAACTTATTATCATTGATATCCTGGATATAGAACCACCAATTTAAGTGAAATTTAATTTTACTATAAACAAGAATGCAGAAATAGTCAACACCACAAAAATACAATTATAACTAAATCCACAAAAATAAATGTGTTAGTAAGATCTATACCACTAAAATGGATGTGAGACTGCAGGAAAAAAAACAAACTTCAAAAATCAATTCCAAACATCTCATAACCATTTAAATGGAATAGCCCAAGGAAAATACAGTTTTAATGCATTCTTGAGTAAAGATGTTAATTTCTACCAAGCCATAAAATGACAAGGTTCAAGAGTTTGCTACCAAAAGCATAATTGTTGTATATTTGGCCGTAAGTTTTTGTTGCCTACTTAAAAATCGTTTCAGTAACAATAATAAAATTACATGCGACTATCTCTTCCATAATGAACAAGTTTTGAATTTTCTCTACTTTTTTCTCTAATCACAAAATTTAATATTTACCTTGACAACTGGGGTCGACATGTTCCTGCATTGAACAATGTTGGTGAGGCATGTGTGAACCATTTTTCTGACAACAAATTGTATGTCTGAAGGAAAACAAAACAATCGAATCAATATAAGCAAACATGCTTGCTTCCAAATCCAATTGTAAATCTAATAAATTTGATTACTTGAAAGTTGTATATTGTATGCTGATGCATATTATATTTTTGACCATCAGATACTGTCAATGCTAAAACAATCATCCCTTAAATTGCAGCTCTAGTCCAGCAACAAGTACAACTTGCATATTCTGCAGTTTTCTTAAGTGTGATATTTCCCACTGAGGTCTGGATGTTTTAAAGTTGACACCCAATAGTAACCATACCATACCTCGTAGTTTTTCATACTATGTACCAATCTGATTAAAACACAGGTCCTGTGTTCAAGCTTTGCTTACAAGGATCTCACAACACTGGCATTTTAGTCTGGCATCCTGGCCAAACCTCCTCTTTGCGTTGGTATGGCCAGGCGTAATACAATCCACGTGACCACTTATCAGCGCTGACTAGGACTGAATTATTGTGCATATGCCTTTTATATAAACAAATATAGCGAACAGATCATTAACTAGTGATTCACGATGTTACTTAATAATGTTAAGGATTATTGTTGCTATAGTTTTCTGGAATTTGTATTTTGTATCAATTTAAAAATGATTTTCAATAAATTCATGGCAATATAAATATTTCTTGCTATGTGTCAATTTATGATGCTATCCAATGATGCATCATTCTAACATCAAATAAATGAATACATGTGTTATTCCACCTGGCTCTACTGTCAAGCAGTGAGCCAGGATCCAAGGCAAATGAAATTTCAGCCTTCAAATTTATGATAGTATTCAATAATGCGACAAAACAAGATGATCCAAAAAGGTCTTTCAAACAAAGTAAAAAGGAGCTTTATCAGACCCTTGTAAGCAAATCTTGGATACAGGATCTGTATCTTAGTCAGATGGGACAATGTACTTAATCAAATTCTGTATTTCTACCTCAATAGCAGCCTCTATATCATTTTCGTGTATTCCTACAGCAACTCTCATCAACATGTGTTGGGGACGTTCAGCAACTATAAAAAATAACACAAGTCATTTTGAGTCTAGACATGTATAATTATATTACTAAACAATTTTTCATGAAATTTTTTTTTCAAGACTGCAACATGGTACATTTGTTGTAAATGTTAATTCAAATTGTTTTTTGTTTACAAAGTTTCATTCAGAGTTTTTGCTATGTAGAAAATAACATTTATTGGTCATATGGGTTCATTATCTATTTTAATACTTATCTAAAATAATCATAAACTGTTACACAGAGATATGTCTTGCCTTTTTGTAATTTTGGTAGTATAATGCAAAACATTCAAAGTCAATGAACCATGGCTTAATGTGCAGGAACAAATAACCTCCACGAAAATGAGAAATGCCATTGTTTATAAAACTACATACCAAATACTGTTGACCATTGCCATTTGATAAAGGACTTTCCGTTTTGAATTTTCCTTGGAGTTCTGTATTTTTGTTATTTTACTTTTTATCATAAGTGGTGCCCTTAACACTAACCAAAACAAAAACTTTAACTTGTAAACAATGTAAAAACTTCAAAGTCAATGAACCATAATGAGTGGATGGGTCCATATAATCTCCATGGAAAAGAGACTTGCAAATGTTAATGCAACTGCATACCAAATATCATTAACTTAACATTGATGGTTCCTCTTGAATTGATTGGATCACAAACTTTCTAACATGTAAACTATGCAAAGCATTTAAAGTCAAAAGACCATGATTGAGGGGGCGGCGCCAAATAATCTCAATGGAAATGAGATGTGCAAATGCTAATACAACTGCATACAAAATATCATTGACCTACCATTAATGGATCCCCATAAACAGACCTAATCACAAACTAATACATTGTTAATGCCACCACCGACACTGTCTACATCAGAAAAAGCATACCCAAGTCTCACTTTTTTAACTCTGTCAAGGCAAGACAAAAACCATTAATAAATTTCATTGAGAGGTGAAAATACGTCTATTCATCTGACCTGAATGACCAATATATATGTCAGTGAAAAATAGAGTTTTCTTTTTTTATCAAGTATGTTGCCAAACAAAATGGCACTTTTCTGTTTCAACAAGTATGAACTTTGGAATGTCTTACCTTTGTTGTCAATTTTCAACAGATATGACCTTTCCAGCGTCTTGAACCCAAAATAGTTGTAGCTGAAATCTCTGTCATAAATCATTGCTGAATTCAGCTTCTGTAAAGTTAAGAAAAAAATATAAAAAGAGGTGTAGTAACTTTTTTTTTATAATATTTTGTGCATTTAACATTGTTTTTTCTCATTGAAAATAAAAATGGCCAAACTGGAAGCCAATTTACTATCTATAAAACTGTAAATTCATAAATTATTGCATGCATTTATTATTGCAATTTTGGAAGAGTGGACAAATATGTGAGATTAATTATTGAGATTCAAGGAAACATGGCATACAGATAAATGTATCTGATATCAGAATGCAAGTTCTTATTATTGTGAATCTCACCAAGTGGCATTACAATTTACAGTAGACTCCGGCAAATCGGATACCCAAAATGTCATCTAAAAATATCAGATTACCCGATATATTCAATTAGACGATGAATGTATATTCATTGAATAATCTACAATAATGAGTAGATCTAATCCTGAGATGTTACTAACCCTGACAATTGCTAAATATTCAAAAGGGCTGGAGGATTGATGAAGTGATTTTTGTCAATTACATCACAACGATGTTTGTGTAAAAAATCATCAGCTGATTTATGCAGAGACATATATACACAGAGATTGGCAAACTCCGTGAAATCCCGTTAAAAAACGCGGCCCGGAATGAGATTCTCGTCGATAATTATTCTACAACATGTAGACAAGTCAGGGATGAATAACCTCGATAGCTAATCAAGAAAAGTAATAGGAAAACTTATTTCAGATCAAATAAATTCTTTTTCTAAAAAACTACTTGAAATAGTTGTATTTTTTTTTATGTATTTGATTGAGAAAATATTTTTTTCTTTTTTTCGGCATTTCTTTTAATTTAAAAAGTAAAATCTGGTAATGATCATGATATTACAAGAAACATTTCTTTGCTAAAGTTTGCTTCTAAATTACACAGTGAAATTATGTGTGTCCGATTTTCCGGTCATTATTTCCTTAGAGTTGTGACTGTGGATTCACAGGTGTGCGATTACGCAATTTATTGGCCTCCGATCACCTGAATTTTGCCGGAGGTGAAGTTCTATGTGGATTATTACTTGGTAATTGTTTTTACAACTAAACAAATTCTGACATTATTTTAACCATGACCAGAACTTTATTTTAACAGAAACACTGGGCTATACTATGAATAGGGTAAACGGACAGAAAGTCACAGTACAAAAAGTCACAGGACATAAAGTCACAAATTGGATAGGACAAAAAGTCACAAATAATTTATTGACAATTGTTTGAATATATAAGAGAAAGATCTTCAAATAATATCTTTTTTTACATTTATTCATTTTTAAGTTCAGGAAATTGTTCATAAGCCTTGATAAATGAAAAATTATTAAATTTTAATCATGCAAATAATATATTTCTTGGCACCATGAAGCCATTTAAGTGCCAAACCACTTTGACATTTTGTTATCATAACAATTATTTGATCATCATTGATATTTATTGAATAAATTTTAATTACAAAGTTGCTTCATATATTATAGTTCAATAAAAAATCAAAAAATTATTTTTAAAATTAGTGTTTTCTTGTTCAGAGAAAAATAATCTCAAAACTGAATTGTGACTTTTCGTCCGTGACTTTTTGTCCGTGACTTTTTGTCCTACATTCTACTGTAGTATTCAATCAGGAACAAAAATAGTCATTTAACATGTCAAAAAAAGAAATCAGAAAGCAACTTTTTTATATAAAAAAAATATGTAGCCAGTAGAATTTTGTCTCGTGGAAAACGGATTTAAATGATTAATTTTTGATTGACCTACAATTACATTATTTGTGGAACCTTTGCATGAATTTCCTAAATGAACGTACATTATGTACAGTGTTGTCGAAATCACTATTTTTGCTGTCATGAAATATTGAATATGAATCTGTCATTATTTGTAGTTTTTTATAGACTTAATATCACAGACCCTGATTAAAAACAACGTGTATCATAAGTACAGTAAAATGCTCTGCTGAACTGTAGAATTTTAATGTTCTGTTTCATAGACCACAGAAGTACTGCAACATCCTTATCTTTACTCTTTCCTATCGGGTAGTGAAACTCGAGTTTGAAATTAGAAAGATTTAAAATTGAAGACAAGTTTTATCTGATCTTTTGTGGGTTTATGTTTCGGTGCAGTGCTATGTGGGCTGTTATTTTCTTTTCATTAGTCATTTTTTTATCTGTGTTTCATGACCTTGTACTTTTTGTATTGCCCCTTGACATCTCCTGCTTCTGTTTAAACCTTTACCACTAATATCTCATCTGGTTTAAATAAAATAGTGTCTCATTCCCGGAATTTGTTATACAGGAATTCATTTTAATATCAGTTTTTTTATAAGCATATAAACTGCTTGGTCTCTTCACACAATTTATGTTTAGGACGGAATGCATCAATAGGTACATACATGTACCAGGTCACCAATATATAAGTACACATTATGTGCTTTTGACCTCCACAAGAATTCTTAAACATTCATAGATGTGCAAAGAATATTTTTGTCGTTGGGTTGTTGTCTCATTGACATATACCTCACATTTCTGAATAGTCATAGCAGCTGTGCCTTTTCAATTTATTGCAGAAAATATTTGCATTAACATTTTTCAAAATAGGCGAGGTGAAACAGTGATCACAGAATGAGGACATGTAAAACTGAAACAACACAACACAACAGATAAACAAGCACCATTGCTAAAGGACTGAAACAAACATAGATGATGACTAATATGAGCCACTAGTAGTGTACAAGTAGAGTGAACATTTCTTGCTTCTTATTCTACACATTTTGTCATTTCATGTAAACAATTAAATATGTTATTTTCCGAGGAGAGGAAGGAATTTGTGAAACGAAATATTTTGCTTTTAGTACTGTCAAGTTATATATTCACAGGAGTGTTGTTGAATAAATGAACATTTTCCCTTTTTTTACATTATGCTACCTTTATGCTACAAAGGTAGCATTTCCATTCTCATGATATACAAAGATATTATAGAGTGGCCTTCCAATGATAGTCATACATGTAAATCATTGTCTCATTGGCAATCATACTACATCATCATATTGTTATACATGTATGTAAAAATTATGTACATGTATACTTTGTAAACGTAAAGAAGACAAATGAAGTTGAACACAAGATATTTATTTGCATTTTTATCCGTATAGTCTCTGCACAACTGCCACTTCTGTTTCAAATTCAATAGATTGAATGCGGAGTCTTCTATTTATTCTTAGTTCAATGATGTCACCATCACTTGCACAAAAATCGCATACACATGTACATCAAGTTTGGCATATGAACTATGATATTTGAACTACAATAATGTGGTGTTTTCACAGTCAGGATAAGCACATGTCATTTTATCTCTTACAAAACCATTTTTTAGTATCACATTGATAGTAGTACATGTAATCAGTCCACTACATGACTGTGCAGTATCATTTGAAAAAAGTCATCACTAATAGTTGTTCCTGTCTGCCAGGGAATCTTTTTTTCAATCAGAAAGGCTAGGGAGTCCTACATTCAGCACATGTATGATATTACATCTCTTGTATGATGCACTGTTAGGTAAATTTGATCAACATCTTTGTTCTTTTATAACATGCAGGATCCTGTTAAAAAAAAAATGCTGTCAGATACTGAATGTAAATATACATGTATATAAACTTGTAAATGTCATCAAAGTGGTGGAAATAATGAAAAAAAAACAATTTATATACATAAAACCGGTATGTCTTGGGAAAGTAATTCCTGTGATCAATGGTGATGGGTACATTTGTTCTTTAAAGATGGACAATTTTATAAACTGTAGCCATGGACAGGTGCCTGTCTTTATATTGAAGAGAATGAAAATGGCCGACAGCTTGAATGGTCATTTTTAATTGTAAATTGCATCAAAGCTGGTGAAAATATGGAAAAAACAACTGTTATACACAAATCCAGTATGTCATAAGAAAGTAATTCATGTGCTGGGAATAATTATTCTCTAAAGATGGAAAAGTTTATTGACTGTAGACATGGACAGGGGCCTGTCTTTTTATTGAAGAGAATGAAAATGGCCGACAGCTTGAATGGTCATTTTTAAATGTAAATTGCATCAAAGCTGGTGAAAATATGTAAAAAACAACTGTTATACACAAATCCAGTATGTCATAAGAAAGTAATTCATGTGCTGGGAATAATTATTCTCTAAAGATGGAAAAGTTTATTGACTGTAGACATGGACAGGGGCCTGTCTTTATATTTTAAAAATTGAACGTGGCCGACAGCGAGTATACTGAATTTTAATTGTAAATTGCATCAAAGTGGGTGATTTAATGAAAAATTCAACATATTTACACAAAACCAGTATGTCTTGGGAAAAGTGATTCATCTCATAAATGGTTTTATTCCTTTTCGAATGAAAAGGTTTTAATAAAAAATACGTCCGTGTAAAAAATTTTCATAACGTCCATGTCGGCCAAGCTTTCCCCTTATTATTGACCACAATAAAACGTTAATCGTCACAATATTTTAACTAACAATTACTACAAACTGAATAAAACAAGGTAAATAATTTAAGAAATTGAAATATATACTTACATTATGCTGTTTTGAAAAGCTTGATGTAAAATAAAAATCGAAGCGGTGGTGAACTTGTCATGATCAGATGCAAAATGGCGATCTCGTTAAAGTCTCGTGTGATGCGTGTTTTTAATTGGATTTCGCTGACCACTGTTACAGTTGCCAATCTCTGTGTATATATGTCTCTGATTTATGTAATGATTAAATTTGTTTGCAGTTTTTAAATCCTTTATTTATTAAAATAAATCAAATGTCCTGAAATATTTATGTGAATTATTATCTACCATCCATAGTTTGTCTTTATTTGTTCTGTAAACAAATTAATATCCATTATTTAGTATTTACATTATCACACAGGTAAACTAATTTGGCTATATATAGATCAAAGCATGTCTGTAGAATCTCCAAACTAAAACTGTATTTGTTATAATTTTTATTTCTTTAAATAATCAAATTTAAATTTATGAAAATAATCATGATTGATAAAATATTATTGCATAAAGTTTACATTTTCTGAAGACTTTTTATGTTTAGGTCATAGTTCTAGAGGCTTCCTCACAAATTTGTAAACAAGCAAAATGGCGTCCATGACATGTGGTTACTGTTGCACATGTGAAAAAATTATTTCTGACAAAAGTCAGATTTCTCTTGTCAAAATGGATTTATATTTATATTGCAATAAATTATTCAGAAGGAGGTACATTCAGTTTAGATTATATTTCTGATTCTGTGAGCATTTAGAGTTTAATCAAAATTCTCCAAACAGTAACGTACTGCTCTTGTCAACTGAGTCTTGTATATTTTAGAAATAAATTCAAACCATTTGAAGTTAAAGGGCATCTAATTCACATGAAAAAGGAAGACAATGACTAAAGACAACAATTTATTAAGAAATAGTTTCTTTTATTTAAAAAACGAAATCTTCTTGTCTGCATGATTGTAAATTCGTAACTTCTGGGCCCATTTCCTGTCAGAAAAACATTGAAAATATCCGATTGTGCATGGTTTTTAATAAAATAACCTGAATATTCTTATCCGATTTGCGGATATATTCTTATATCCGATATTCGATTACACGATAAAATTAACATTAAACATACAGGGAAGGGTTTGGTGTTTTGAAATAATATTACAATAGCCGATATATTCGTTAAGCCGATATCCGATTAGGTGGAGTCTACTGTAATAAAAACCTCGCAATAATTTCTGAATTTACCGTAAATAAATCCTGATGGACAATTTCAGATTAAACAAATTGGAAATAAGATAGAAAGCAGATTAAAATGTATTATGTGAGCTTAAACATCGCACTAAGATTAGAAATGTTGTAAAATGTGATTTTTAATTTGATCTGGCAACACAATCGGATACCCATTGTGGATAAAAAAAAAACATATAATTGCTGTCTTGCTATGCATTTTAGTTTAGAAATTGATCTCGCATGCATAAATTTACTTTAGATTACAGAAATGAAAGATGCACAGAATAAAGAAATCGCCAAATTATATGAAAATTCAATAGCATAATCATTTCCACGAGCATTTTACAGAATAGGCATTATTTTTATAGATAAAAGAAAAAGGGCCTAAAAATTTTAAAGAATACAGAAATAAATGCCCTCCCCCCCCTTTTCCGTCACTCACACATCCTATCAATACTCACATCAGCATTTTTCATGATGATCTCATGGGTTTCTTTGGAGATCATTGGCGAATGCTTTCCCGTTTTTGGATTTATCCATTTATATAAATCATCACTGACCTCTGAAAATGTAAATATTTGTAGAAATGTACATTTTTTACCCTATTGATATGTATCATGATTTGATGGGTGGTGATTACTTTTTAGAGAAATCCTCTCCTAAATTTTTTTTCCATGTTAATGTAAAATACATATGGTGATGAATTCAAGAAAGTTTTTAAGAAGATTTTTTTGTAATGATAATCTTTTTGATATGAAGCATCATATTTGTGTTAAATATTGAATAAAATCAACATTAAAGTTTATCCTTCTAAATGTTTAGTTTTTTATGACATATATTCGTACATTATGTTATTTTTTCAACCCTATAATTTAAGTATAATGCACAGAAAATAAATAAACCAGACTACACGAATGAATTTTATTTTTACAGGACATTCGGTCTGGTAAACAACCCAGCTTTACCAGACCGAATGAAATTTTACCAGACCAATTTTTTTACATATAATTGTATATTATCCGACAAAATACAACAAACTTATGACTTGTTGTGCCCTACTCCTCTCCAAAATGCACAAAAACAAAGTCATGTGACAAGAGTGTATATTTCGATGAAAGTTGTGCACAATTGCTTAAATGCATTTCAGTGATAAAGAAAAGTAATGTCACATTTTATTGGATTTTGACATGAAAATTATTTGTGAACTAAAAATAATTTAGAGTTTCTGTATAAAATATTTCCTGTATCTTCTTTCTTTTTTTTTTTTATATCTTTTGGTTTTCAATTCTAGTGTTTATATTTCATAGCTGTATTTTGTGAACCTGCTTGGATTTTTTATTTTTTTATTTATTGTATTTGATCGGCAAAACCCGGAATTGGCCTTATCCGTTCCCGGAATCTGATCCGGTATTGTCTACATTTCCGGTTGATGGCAGCCATTGTTGTTTTTGTCAGTCAGATATGTTTTTACTCGGATTTACACATTACTTGTTGGCGATTTTCGGCATAAAGCTAGCGGTTGAACAAAATAAACATCGTTGTCATGAATAATAAAGATGAAAATGAATTTCGAGATCGTTTGGGTATTTTACTCCCAAAATTGGGAAAAATGTAGGGTTTTTAGAAAAATCCATGAAAAAAACAACACCGGACATTCGGACCGGAATTCAACAAAATTTTACCAGACCGATCCATTATTCACCGGATTTGTCCGACGAATTTCGTGTAGTCTGATAAACACAACATTTGGCTTTGTTATTTTGTCATGAAGTTAAAAAATACAGATCTGGCCTACCATTCACGAAATATTGGCCATTACAACAAGAAATAACCTTTCACAAACTATATGAAATATTTCTGGACATAAATTGTACGATATTTTGTGAAACTATGGTCTGGTTTGAAAGGTCAATCAGAAATCTACTGCAAATTACATTTATTTTTGCCCTGTATATCACAGAACTTGTTTTTTTTACATACCACTAAAGACTTTCTTTGTTTCCTTGTGTAAGTTTGAAATAGCAATTCTGGCAGCCAGTTGGGCATAATCTGGATGTTTGGTTGTCATGGTAGCAGCTGTTTCAGCAGCCAAATTGTCCAGTTCCACAGTGGTGACACCTGGATATAATCCATTTATGACCTTCAACGTAATTGCAGCCTAAAAATGAAACATAAGAAAATATACTCTACAAAACTATTTGTACTTTAAATATCTGAAAATCAAAATGTACCTTTAATAATACATTTTGTAAGTCAGTTTTCCTTCATGGACATCATACAACACTTGTCAGACAATTACTGGGCAGATTTTTCGTAGTCTCTATGTTTGTTTCTGTTTAATTTGTTCACCACTTTTTACACCAGAACTATTTGAGCTTGCCATATATTTTGTATAGACAACCAGCGGTCTTCTGTTGAAAACTACCTCTTCCTGTCAAGCTGTAGGGTGTTGCTTGGTTATTTTTGTTGATGGGATGTTGTTTCAATGATATTTGCCCCACATTTCTTTTTATTCATATCTCAGCAAGAAGAAATAAAAAAAGAAAACAGCAACAGTGATCGGGAAGGAAGTGCGCCTTGCGCTTATCGACCAGAAATGGCGCATAGAGTGACAAATGTAAGCGCCCGCGTGGCGCATGATATTTTTCACTTCGTTTTGAAACGTTGAGATATCGTCAAATGGATTTCCGATCGTATTTCGTGCCGCCATGTGTGAGTACACAACTGTGTAGTGTTTACTCCAATGATAGGAGCACCTATATATTTTTGGGACGTCTCGGGTGTTTTCCTATGGTAATAATAGCAACATGCAGTATGACTGATAACCCAAAAAACGTAATTAACCATCATTCATGATATAATTTTTTTTATAAACAACTTCAAATTTGTGAAAATTGGCTAGTACCTAATTATAATCTTTTAAGTAAGCTACTATTATTTCGATTGAAAAATCCAAAAGCCTTTTTATGAATAGCATAGTATTTGTCTCCATAAAAGAGGCTTAACTGTCCTTGTCAATTTTTTTGGTCTTTGGCTCGTTTTGACATTTTGTAAACATGCCTTCAGCAAATTGTTGTTGTGTCTTATCAATTAACGTTGATCTCTACTGTTACTCTTGTCATCGTGATGAAGTAATAATAATACAAGTGCAGAGGAAATGTCAGAAACGTCCTCTAATACGGAACGTCTGGAATAAGTATGGTATCGACGAAGACCCAAATTTAATGTAAAAAAAAACATGAACATGAACAAGGGAACAGTACAAGTTTTAACATTGTAAATAAAGGTTATCGTAAATATTGCACGGTTTGGAAGAAGTTATTGTATATTCATTGAAACTGAAATTACAAAATCACAGGAACAATATCCATGATATTAATTAGAATCATACTTGTAAGTACAGTGAAATATACACTTTTTTTATTTTTTTTTTTATTGTAAATGAATGGCCCACTCATTTGACAACATTGCCCATTAATTCTAAAAATGGCTCATTGAATTTATTTTTGGGGGGCCCTGGGCCCATAGAGAAAAAATCCTTCCAGATCACTGAGCAATAAAAAAAACAAATGGTCCAGATTGCCAGACTTGGTACCTACTCAAAATGTGGTCGAGTTAAACCAGTTTTAAGTCTGCACACAAACCCCCTCCTTTGCCCCTCATGACCATATGCTGTACAACTAAATCACACAATAGAAATAGAATCAAAGTGTGAAAGCGCTGTAAAGGCAGTTAATTACAGGTTGTGTGTATTTTTAGTCCAGTTATATCATTATCTTGCATAGTACATTGTACTTATCAGAGGTGGCTTTCAGTATTTAAGATTTAGAGTTCTCTAATGATATTGAACAAGTTTTATGAATGTCATATTCTGAGCACTATATGAAGGCGATTGTTCTCATTTGTTTATGAACTAGTGCATTATGTCCAGTTTGTACCTTTTTTATCTATGTTCATATATAGTCAAATACTGTTAAAAATAGTTTGGCATTTTCTTTTTAGTAATAAGTAAATGTTATCAATTGTATTTTATTCGACTTTGCAAATGTGGTTTGTTACTGGTAAGTACAATGTATGGGTGATAGTTCTTTCATTGGCAATCATGACACATCTCCTCATTTATATAATGATCTATATTCAACGACCTCAGGTACAAAAAAAATGTATGTAACTAAACTATGATGGGAAAACTTTGACTTCTTTCTTTTATATAAACTTTTGATTTGGTACCATAAAACTATGTAGAATAAATGTACATTGCAACATGTCAACTCTTTCAATGACAATACTTTTTTTAGAAACTATAACTCCAAGCAAAATTATATTTCCAAGTATAAAGTAATTTATGAATGAAACAAGAGTGCACACGCTGAAATGTCTCGCCTTCTTTGCTAATCATTGATATTATGTTGATAGTCCTAAATATAAAGCTTTATTACAACTGTCACATAAACTTAACATTAAACAGGTAAACTAAACATTGACCAATGAACCAAGAAAATGAGGTCAAGGTCAGATGAACCATGCTAGGCAGGCATGTACAGCTAACAATTCTTCCATACAACAAATATAGTTGACCTATTGCTTATAGTTTAAGAAAAACAGACCAAAACACAAAAACTTAAAACTGAGCAATGAACCTTGAAAATGAGGTCAAGGTAAAAAAAAAACCTGCGTGACTGACAAATAGATCATAAAATATTTCCATACACCAAATATAGTTGAACTATTGCATATAGTATTAGAAAAAAAGACCAAAACTCAAAAACTTAACTTTGACCACTGAACCATGAAAATGAGGTCAAGGTCAGATGACACCTGCCAGCTAGACATGTACACCTTACAATCATTCCATACACCAAATATAGTAGACCTATTGCATACAGTATAAGAAAAACAGACCAAAACACAAAAACTTAACTTTAACCACTGAACCATGAAAATGAGGTCAAGGTCAGATAACACCTGCCAGATGGACAGTCCTTCCATACACCGAATATACTAGACCTATTGCTTATAGTATCTGAGATATGGACTTGACCACCAAAACTTAAACTTGTTCACTGATCCATGAAATGAGGTCGAGGTCAAGTGAAGACTGTCTGACGGGCATGAGGACCTTGCAAGGTACGCACATACCAAATATAGTTATCCTATTACTTATAATAAGAGAGAATTTAACATTACAAAAAACTTTAACTTTTTTTTCAAGTAGTCACTGAACCATGAAAATGAGGTCAAGGACATTGGACATGTGACTGACGGAAACTTCGTAACATGAGGCATCCATATACAAAGCATGAAGCATCCAGACCTTCCACCTTCTAAAATATAAAGCTTTTAAGAAGTTAGCTAACGCCGCCACCGGATCACTATCCCTATGTCGAGCTTTCTGCGACTTTTGTCGCAGGCTCGACAAAAAGGAGTTCTTAATTAAGAAATAAACTGATTCACTGAGCGCTGCTGGATACACCTGCAGAGGTCCAACCCTGAACAGTTGGGGCAAAAATGGACACAATATTCAAGCTTGATACAGGTCTGAATTTGGATTGTAATTAAATATTTGACATACTATAGTTTCTGAATAAATGTAGTCAAAGAACTTGAAATCGGTTATATGAATTGAATTTATATTCAATTAAAGATTTCTTGCTGTTGTGCAATACACTGTGCTGTTGCGCAATACTTAATAAATCTGTTGCCAGACTATAAACAAATAAAGTTCAATTTCTTCTCAATGTCATATTTGAAATTTATGAAAATCAATAGGGAGATTACATCAATAGCTATAAATAATTCACCAAAGTTTCATGCGAACTGCTTAAAGCATTTTTGAGTTATTGTCCAAAAACTGGAAAATCCCCCCTTTTTTAATGAATAAAACCCCACAACTCAGAAATGTAAAATCTAAAATTTATAAAATTCTAAAGGGAGCTTAGGTTTGATAATTTAGTCTTAGATGCAAGATTTTTTTATCAGTTGTTAGTGGCTTTGAACTAGCTGTCAGTAAATGCGAGTACTTTCAGATCTGTACTTAGTGTCTTTTAGTTGTTTGGATGTACAACTACCCGGCCACGTCCACTTGTATTTGTATTTATCCATCTGATGAGTTAAGCCTCTTTCAACTGATTTTTATAGTTCGTTCTTATATTGTACTGTTACACCACTGTCCCAGGTTAGGGGGTGGGTTGGGATCCCGCTAACATGTTTAACCCCGCTACATTCTGTATGTACATGTGCCTGTCCCAAGTCAGGAGCCTGTAATTCAGTGGTTGTCGTTTGTTTATGTGTTGCATATTTGTTATTCGTTCATTTTTTGTACATAAATTAGGCCGTTAGTTTTCTTGTTTGAATTGTTTTACATTGTCATTTTGGGGCCTTTTATAGCTCACTGTGCATTATGTGCTTTGCTCATTGTTGAAGGACGTACTGTGACCTATAGCTGTTAATTTCTGTGTCATTTGGTCTCTTGTGGAGAGTTGTCTCATTGGCAATCATACCACATCTTCTTTTTTATATTTACATCAACAGATATAAACAATTCACCAAAGTCAAACTTAGTTGTAAGATCTCTGAAATTTTTTACACGGTACAAGTTTTTCTAATTGTTGGAGATTGTACGGTGACAGTAACACCTATAACTGCTTAACCCATTTCTTATGCACTTTGGTTCGATAAACTCACTGAATATCATACCACATCTCCTTATTTTTTTATGCATTACAATTTACATGTGCATGTAATTGTAAATAATATTTATATATATATATATCAGAACAAACTTCATTGCATCACTTTTATTTATGCATCCTCTGGCACAATACAAGTCCTAAAATTACACAACATAAAACAACTAAATGTTATTTCAGATGAAAGTTTTGTTTCAGTTCCATTCATAGGATTTATTAGAATTTTGTATGTTTTGCCAAGTCCAATAATTAGCTCTATGTGCATGTGTTAATTGGAGACTTTTCTATCCCGTATAAGAGTTTTGGAACTAATTCTGTGTCTTTTTTTGAAAAAAGTGAGCAAACAAATCTTGCACATTTAAACCTTTGTCTGCCATCACACTATCACCTGGATCACATAATTGAACTACACATGTATTCTACATCTTTCAACTATTTCACAGTCACTGGTACAACCAACATATGCATTAGAGACATACATTTTTGTAGTTGACTAAACCACCAGGTGTCGAACATACAAGTATTTTCAGTGTTTCTGTTTTTATATGATGAAAAGGTTGCCTGAGCTCTAGGAGCTTTATGTTTTATCATGGGATATTCTGTGCTGTCAATAATAATCCAAGTTGTAGGAAACTTTAATTTGAAGTTGGATGGCAAAAAATACCTGACTAAACCACTAAATGGCCAAGTGTTAGCCTCACGCCACTGTTTAGACATAAAAAAAAATCCATGTTTACACAATATTCTTAACACTAGTTTCAATCTAGAATCTAGACAGAGTTCGCGAAAATGGTCGGTCCTGTCGGTCAAAATGAGGCTCGGACCAGTATTTTGAAGGCTAGTGCCGGTCCCGATGACCGATGTAAAAACGGCCGTTGTAGTGCATATTTCGGCACTTTTTTACATCGGTTATTAGATGTACCGCAACTGTTTCCAATAAGTGTTTACATCGGTTATCAGATGTACCTGCTGCCAATTTCCGGTACTGGTTTACGGATTTATTATAAACAAACCAAAGCGGCGATCTACACGTGGCCTACTAAATTTGTTCATAGAGCCATCCCTGGCAAACAATCGGCGATTGAACCCTACAATGGAGCAAACAAATACTGTAACAGCCGAGAAAGTGATTCAGATGATGAAATGGATAGTGAAGATGACTTTGAATAAGAACAATCAGAAGACCTGAACTGGTCCTTCATTGTTAACTTGCCTGTGGGTGCGAAGAATAAAACTAATATTAATAAAGTTATTTTTCGATAAAATATGTTATTAATTTTATTTCAGGATAAAATTGACAGGTTTTGTAGGACTGGCTAAAATTTTGTAGGACTGACAAATAATCATGCTTTGTCGGTCCCATGACCGACGGGTCAAAATAAGTTTTCGCGAACTCTGATCTAGACAGTTCAAAGTTGGTTGTATAATGCCTCAATTTCATCAAAGTCAAAGACACCCTATCAATTTGAAAATATATGTATCTCAAACAATGTGCTGCTGGACCAAGTGTGGTCAAAGCAAATAAAAATTTAGTATACAACTCTAAACTGGTATAAAAATGCATGGCTGTGTCACATGTCTTCATTTCAAAATTCTCTGTTGAAAATATAGGCATTGATGGTGTTTGCGTAATTCCATCTGTGAAGCTCAACATTAGCTCGGCAGTTGGTGGTGGACAGTCATAAATCCTGGCTGCAGTATGAATGATTTCTTCAGGAAAACCAACTTTACAATCAAAACTTTCCTCTAGATTTCTACTACAATATTCATCAAGTTTAGTTCTTTTGTTTTCCCAGGTAACTGCCCTGATTTTTCTTTTTGCGGACGATTCAGTCTCTTGCTTGATCCAGGAAAATAGGCTGGGAATGGCAGTAGACTCAAGTCTCTGTATGGAGGGTTTGCGCTCTGAAAAAGGTTATAAAACATTAGTTTTTTGATAATTAAATGAACTTCCATTAGCAATGCATACTTTGTACTACCTGGCAAAATATTAACTAGATTTATTCATTACAATCTGGATAAAACTATGTTAGCCTGATTCAATGAACATCAAAATGTATTTTATGTAAATCCAAAGGACAAACAATGAGAGACGTATGCAACAAACATACATTGTTTGTACCTTAATAACTATAATATAGATGAGAGCATGTCATTGTTTTGTTCCTGTTAACATTGTCATTGATATTTTTCAGGAAAGTCTATGAGGCATAGCTTATGCATTCCTGTCATTACTACATAAGCATAATTACTGCTAAAATAATTCTCAGTATGATATACCTCATTATAATTGTAGCAAGCACCAAAAAATCTCAAACAGATCACATTGAATCGTAATCAAAAAAATTATGACGTCTTGAGAATTAACCACCCCCTTTTATTCTAAAACGATAATTGCGGTTGTAAACAGACTTTGGTTTATTCGCATGGCGATTACATATATAACTATATATTTTAAAAAGAAAATAGAGTTTTACCATGAATAGTTTCCTGCACGTAGTCTTTTTCAGTAAAATGTGCCTTACAAACAACAGCTGATTGAGATGGACTCCACGATTTCATCTTGTTCTCGTCCAATCTGCGTATGGGCCATGGCGTTGATCCAACTTTTCCTTCTTTTTAAGTCATTTGGAAATGCATGTCCTCCTCTTAAATGACATCCAGGTACACAACAACAAGTACTTGGCATCGTTAATTAAAAATGCAACTGTATAGTTGCACAGTGCAGAAACCGGAAGTTTAAGAACAGGATCGGCTACCACAGCGCCACCTATTCAGGAACGACAATTTGCTACTTTATATAACTGCGAAATAACAATCAATAACGTTAGATGGGTTCACGTGCATCAACAGAAATGCGCCTTAAATTGTATAATATAATTCATGTTCAGTCGACCTTTAATTATTATATCAACGACTGAAATGATTTATAAACATCTAGATTGCAGATAACACTCGAAATTAACCCGACCTCTTTACACACGGAATTCAAATAATTCTAGTTTGTCAATCGGTTGACTGCTTATAATGTAAAATACAAATATATCAAAAGTTTTTAAAACTAACAAAACACAATGATCGTTTCTCTATTTCCCAATGTAAATGAAATGAAACAAAAAACATTTTATATCACAATAAGAAGAGGAGAGAATCAACATTTTCCGGATCTACTTGGAGCCTAATGACCCCCACGTAGATAAGTTGGATATCGCGGAAAGAAAGATTAACACATCAACTAGAAAGGCATTAAAGCACTGCCTTTAAAAATTGCATGGTTTAAAATGGCTACTTATGATTGAATTGCTTAAAAGTACAATTCTGCTCTGTTAACAATCAATGTATCAAGGTATTAATACTGTTTCTTGTATACAATGTGGCAAAGTTCTTGAAATCTTACTTTAACCTGGTCCTTCACTACAAAACTGGTTGTCCCAATGAAAAACACTTACCTTTGGCAGGCCAGGTAATTACTGAATATTGATATACATTGTATCAGGAGCTACACTTAATACCAGAAAGCCTTAAAATTAAAAAATAGAATAAAACCACCACAAACTTTTAGTTAGACATCAGAACCACCACTACAATCAATATTGACGAACCCGTCTGATTTTTTTGTTGGTTAGGATAGACATGAAAGCTGGTTTTCTGGAACACTGGAAAAAAGTACTTACAGGGTCTACAAAATCAGAATGCAGTCCATAGCAAAGCTTTTGTATTCTTGAAGTGATCTTGTCAAACATAACCTTCTCTTGTCGCCCATCTGAAATAATGCATAAATATTTGTAAAACTTTACTTTTGCCAACTTCTTCACTCAGTTACTTACCAAAGGTTTACCTAATTTTAATTATTAATTTCTAACTAATGCTCTTCATTATTGGGGGAAATAAAGATACATATATTAACTACCTATACATTCAACATGGAAGGTGCTGACATACTGTTGTTGCAGCATGTGCACTATTTGAATCAATGCCAGTATGGACTCCCTATGATGCTGCATAAGTGCCAACTTCTGTCCATGGGAGCTCAAAACAAGTGTGTTCTTTAAGGGATCCAGTTACCCAAGTGGGTTATAAATTCACAAAGCAAAATGTCATTTTTTTTAAATAGAGGGAAGGTACATGTATCTGAAAGTACATTTGTTTAGATCATTATATGCAACATTTCAAGAAAAAAAGGTACATGCAAGTTGCAAGACTTAAGACTGTTGCGTCTAATAATTGTTACTTAGGTCAAATAAAAATGTGTATGGTTCCAGTTACCTGACCGACCCTAGTTTAAACCACCCAATCCTAGAATTTTTTTTTAAATTTCTGAAAAATAAGTTTTGAAGATCCCATTTTGTGGAATTTAAATTTCAATAATTAAATTTGTAACATGTCTGTTTATTTTACAGCCCATCTTTAAATGTCATAATTTGTATAATGTCTTTGATGACCCTAGTGTACATTTTTCCGAGTTTCAATAATGACAACATTTTGCAAAAACGTCAAGTTTAAGAAGATCGTGAATAAATGTTAATCTTAGTAAAAATATATATATATGTTAGCAAGTGCAACACAGAAAAACACAAAAAAAATTTCTGTAAAAATAAAAAGAAATTTCAAAAATAAGGATTTTTAGAAAAAGGGGGAGGACATAAAAATAATTTGTCCGGTCCCCAAATTATACCTATGATTTAATTTATTGTAAGCATTTATTTGCTGGTCCCTACTACCTATAATCCAACTTTGTCCTGTCCCATGATCCAAATTACGTTATTTGGGATTACAAAATGTAGCTTTTAGATAAGTATAGCAGTCAAACAAAATAACTTTGAAAAGCTCATCAGTTATCACCTGACTCTATCAACATCGTTGATCAGTGATACTGTCATAATCTTATTTCATAAAAATTAAAATTAAGGTTCATCATAACAAATGGACAAATATGGCCGTATTTTCACCTCAAAAACTACTCTGTGTACAGGCTTACCTGTGCAGTTTGGAAAGTTTTAAGGCCTGGCATCCACTAGATGTATAAAAGTTAAATTTATTTTGCGTATCAGAAATATAAAATCTTTTTTGGATTATGATGGGCATTCTTTTCCGTTCCTGCTGAAGGTGTAAAAATAAACTAAGTTGGGATATAACTTTGAGATGCTCCATCTCAGGTAACAACTGATTTGTATTGTATTGATTGTCCTTGATTGGCATGGACAATAGATATCTACACATCTATAGGTGAGTTAAAGGTAGTAACTGAGTGGACAGTATCAAATGCAATTCAGGTGTTAGTTTATTTTTACACCTTCTGCAGGAAGGAAAAAAAATGCCCATCATATTCAAAAAAAGATTTTATCTTTCTGTTATGCAAAATAGATTTAACTTTTATATATCTAGTGGATGCCAGGCCTTAAAACTTTCCAAACTGCACAGGTAAGTCTGTACACAGAGTAGTTTTTGAGGTGAAAATACGGCCATATTTGTCCATTTGTTATGATGAACCTTAAGACGATACGTCCAGTTTTTTTGTGCTGTTTTCTTCAACTTTTTTAATGTAATATTTTTAAATCGTTTAATGTTGCTATCCATTCTTACCTCTTTTGTTGACAAACATTTTTGTGTCTATCTAATTTTCAGGTAAATCAAATTAAATTCAAGAATTTGTAGTTTTTTAGTTGGAAGTTTCTTTGTCTTCTTTCACTGTATGATCTGGCGCCAAATTAAACTTCCCGCGTTTGATTAAAACTTCCTGTTGACAAAAACGCCCTCTAGTAATCTTACTACAAACCGAATACGATTCAAGAGTATAGTGTACAACGAAGACGATATTCAGTAGAAACAGTCAGAATTCCATTACTATTAGTAATGTAATTCTAAGTTCTGATAGGAATTATGCAAACCATAATAGCAACTTCTTATCATAGTTCTTAAAATATTTTTCCCTGGTGGTCCTTGGAGAAAATCTCAGCTGGTCATCATTATATTATTTCTTCTGAAAAAACATTATTGTGAGCGTTCAACATCTCACCCCTTCCCCCTTCAACGGGACAGTGGTGTCACAGTACAACATAAGATAAAACTATATAAAAAGCGCATCACAAATAAACATATCTATATACTATGTAACAAATCATAACAAAAACAGTCTTCTCGAAAAGTGGTGGTCCTGATGCTGAGCACATGCGTGGCCCATCTAAATTGGAAGTTGCGTGAAAACAGATTCATTTTTTTTATTTGCAACCCAATGATACATCAGCTATATGCTTTTTAGCTTACTTTGACAAAAAATTGAACCAAATTGACTGCTTGAGGCAAAATATTATTTCTGAAAATTCCACTTTTATAGATGTATGGAATATAAACCAAATATAAAAACTATTGTCTATGTCTAAATCGGAGTCACGTTACGCCCGAAAAGTGATGTATCTGCCTTTTCCATATATATACCGTATAATATCTTTCGTTGACTATGATTTGATTAATACCAGGGATTAAAAGGAGAAAAATAACAAATGACAGTTAGGATGTTACCATGGAAACAGAAGTTTATGTTACCTGTCTTCTAATTAGTTTAAGCAACAACAAAAATAACATAAAACACCTGTTTTGATATATGATCAATCTATCTATATCTATATTAGTACACATACAATATATTAATATGAATCTATATATTAAAGATTTAACCACAGGTAAGGAGCAAGGTCACATAGAATAGAGAATGGAAAAGGTGAATGTGTCAAAGAGAAACAACAACCCGACAAATGAGCAGAAGACAGACCAAGGCCACCAATGGGTCTTCAACACAGCGAGAAATTCCCGCACCCGGAGTCGGGCTTCAGTTGTTCCTTAAACAATAATGTATACTAGTTCAGCGAAATGGACACCACACTAATCATAAAAATGAACAAAAATTTAAAAAAAGAAGAATAACAAAGACTAGATGTTCCTGACTTGGGACAGACGCAAAAATGCGACGGAGTTAAACCTGTTTTGTGAGATCTCAACCCTCCCGCTATACTTGTAGTCAAAAGTCATATAATGGAACCTATAGATTGATTTAAAGGGTAATCTAGGTGATAAACCTATTAATAGAAAAGGTGTTATTCTTAAAAGAATAAAAAAAAACGAATTACAAAAAGAAATGGATAAAGCAAATGTGTCACTATCGAATTGAGCATATAACCCTTTTTCAATTTTAGATGTATTTTATGTATTTGTATTTCGTTCATTGTTTATACATAAATCACGCCGTTAGTTTTCTCGTTTGAATTGTTTTACATTTGTCATTTCGGAGCCTTTTATAGCTGACTATGCGGTATGGGTTTTGCTTATTGTTGAAGGCCGTACGGTGACCTATAGTTGTTAACTTCTATATGTCATTTGGGCTCTGGGGGAGATTTGTCTCATTAGCAATTATATCACATCTTCCTATGTATGCTTTGTTGAGCTGAATCAATAATTCAAGATTTCCAACTACAGTGCGCAATAGCTCGTTAATTGCAAATCTTATATACCTAATCTCCTTTTTTCTTATATACACTAAGTGGAAGTTTCATAATGAAGCATTTTGGTTTACATTGAACTTCAAGGCAGAAAGGCCCGGTTTACATGTTTTCAAACACGATAATCTTTATCTCATCCTGTAACGTCATTGGCAAAACAGAACAAAAACCAAATATACAATAAAAAAGTTAGTAAAGGTTTTGAAACGCTAAAGCAATATTGGAGCTCGAGGTCAATCATGAGATCTGTCTGTATCTGAGAACTGGCTCAGTAAATGTTATTCTGCATCAGTTTATTTACGAACACTTCCAATTGTTGATGAAAACTTTTTGTTAATTTGCTGTCAATGAGTGACATTCTCTTTAATCGAATAATTATATTTCATATTCCCCATCCCGAACGGACGTCCCTGTACTTAAACCGGTAATCTTTAAATCAGCCATATTTAACAATATATAATGTGTTAAAAAGTGTCACACATATAAATTATACTTACATACTTCCTGATATACTTATATATATTTCCTTGGCTTACATTTTCTGTCTGATACGGTGTATCCGTTTTGGCTCAAACGTTATAAATATTTACATATAGATCGATGTAGTCTGGTTTACGTTTCTTTCTTAATATTGTTGATCGCCAAGAAGGAAATGTGGTATGTTTGTGGTTACAATGAAGTAATTATTTACATAGGCGACAATGGTAGCCTTTTTGGGTCCTGCGTTTTCACTATAAAAGATCCGTTGATAACAATGTCAAATTCTGAATTATCAACACCTTTGCATGGGTGTAAATCAAACTGCAAAACACATATGGTACCGCAGCTTTTTTGATAGAAAAATGGCATTTTTTAAGGGTACTCAACAGTTCCGGAATTTTCGAAATAGTATAAATCAAGAACACCCCTTGCTTAATTTGGCACAGAAAATTTTGCTCGTCACAGAGAGTTGCCTCCAAATTTCTCGCTATTTCTACACCAATGGCCAACACTCATTTCTCACTATTTCAATTTTTATTTCTAATTACCAGGGCAGCAGAAAATAAATTTACTTCTGCCTATTATCTTGGGTGTGAAATCTAGGTGGCGCCAGTCATCTTTAATTACTTCCTTTTAACCTTGTACTATCCACATGAATGTAAGCAACTTTATGTCGCCGCAGGACCTTCAACGATGAGCAAAACATAAAAAACCCTTACGGTGTAGCTCAGCTAGAAAAATCCCCAACATGACAAAATTGTTAATTTAAAAGACCAAAATATTAGTTCATATCTTCGTCGTTTCCTTCTTAACAAGTTATAAATGTGGGGATGGACGAGGGGTGTACCCAAATAACACGTGAATATAACGTACCTGCGTCAAAAGTCACAAACCTCTCTTGTAATCTTTGTTAAATGCGCACCTTTATGAAATAAATGATGAAGGTATTGGTCTATGCTGGGACTATTATACTAATAATACTAAGTATACTATCAATATACTATGTCCTAGGTCTATGGTGGCATAGCATACGTACAGTCTAGGCCTTGGACGAGTAACACATGAATTTTGTTTTTTTTTTCAGATTCGAAACAATAAAAAAGAACTGTTTAAATGGTATAGACACTGTATCAATCTCTGTATTCTATTACGTCGTTGGTTTGCTGTCCTATTGGTGTATATACACGCCCAGTGTTTTGTTTATACATGGAGAAATGTTAAAACAGATAACTAAAAGTATTTCAATGATTACATCATTTTCTCTTGTTGTATAGCAACCAAAAATGTTCATTCAAGTTTTGAATAGCTATTTATATATATATATATATATATATATATATATATATATATATATATATATATATATATATATATATAGGGGTCTAAATAAAGCACAAACAACATTTTCCAAAAGACCAAAAAAGTGAAAAAGTATATTTTGACTAGCAGGTCCGAACAACGGATGTTCTTAAACGCTGCTGACTGCCATTGGCGATTGCCAAATAAACGGATCACCAGATGTAACAAAATGGATCATAACTATTAATCTAATACCAAACAGAAAACAATAAACTTGCGAAAAAGATGGTATACCGCAAACAAAAGGTGCAAAAATTAGTACACCAAATATATATATATACTAGTCGACAAAAGAAACGATACAAGGCAATATATGTTCCATATATAATGAAATTGGATACACTGTACCAAGGTAAATAATTGCCCAATTGGTCTAATATTTACAGAGTGTAATTTTCTTATCAAAACCATTGATTTAAGGCAAATACGCGATTTTTTTTTTGTTTTTGCAATTTCTGTCATTTCAAAAATCGTATTTTCACCCAAAAATTCAAAAGTCGATATTAGAACTTAAAACATTAAACTTAAACATGGTCTGCTTAAAATTTTGAATGCCTTTGCAGATATTTGAATACTTAATTCTCATCTTCGAAATTAAATGCCGACTTTTGTCATCATTTTCTGCAAAATAAATTTGACCCTTGTGCTCAATAACACGGTATTTTCTCACTTTCCAATTTGGTCAGATTCTTTTAATCATATTCATTTGCAAAGGCAAATGAATGTTATTTATTGGATAATTAAACATGTTTTCCTATTTATTATATTGTATGATAAATTGGAGTTCAAACTTGTGTATCGTTATTTTTTGTTGACTAGTATACATGAGTACATCGTCTTTTATTTAAGGAATGATTGTAATATTTTTTCTGTCTATGAAGAAATAACATCAAGCGTAGCGGGTTATTTAAAAGTGTGCACCACATTTTTTATGTTATTTCGAATAGACAGAAAAAATATTACAGTAATTTCTTATAATTTAATTCTAAATTTCATTTTAACATGTTTAAACCAGAGTAAACCATGAAAAAACGTTGATGACGTCAAGGTCACATGACAGAATTATGTCTATGAGCTGATAAACAAAACAACGTCAGCCAATCAGAAGACGCGTTACATCCAAAATTAAATTATTTAATTAGAGAAAGAAAAAAACAAGAATCACGTAGATGAGACAAATAACCTATACAGTAAAAGTTGACAAATTCAAGTATGTATTTATAGATGTCTCCATCAATATAAGAATAAGGAGATGTAGTATGATTGTCAATGAGACAAGCAGGGGCGGATTCAGGCTAGGGCGTGGCGGGTGTGCGCCCCCCCTAAAATTTGCAAAACATGGGTTTTCCTCAGCTTAATAACGAATATTTCGATAGTTTTACCTCAAAACATTTTTTGCC